TAAATTTTTTAATTAATTAAAACTTAAAGTTATTGGTAGTGGAATATTCTTTAATTTTATTAATAAACCATATCGACATCTCATTATTCTTTCACTTATTTTCACTTTTATATTATAATAATAAATATAGAGATTTATTACACATACCTATAAAGTAACTCTTTAAACAAAAACTATCAGGGCTTAGGGACCATGGCCCATTATTACGGTTCCGGACCGGAAACCGTCTCGCGTTTCGAAACCGGCCCGGAACCGGAGTGTGAGAACCGAACTGGGACGCTAACCGGGGAACCAGAACCGACAAAACCTTCCCCGGGTTCGAAGGGTCGGTTGCCAGAAAAATAGGAACCAGAAGCTGCGGGTTTCAGAGAACCGGTGCGCGCAACCCCGCAACTGAAAGAAGACGCGATCGTTTCTGCCGCGCGCCGCGTTCGGTAACGGACGTGTTCTAGCCGTTGTAGAGCAGCTGTCAAAACCTTGATTTTTTTTTTTCTAATATTACTATTGCTAAGAATCTGTCTTTTAATTACCGCCTGGCGCCGGGCGAAGCAGCCATTAAACGGGCTACATAAAACGGGCCTATGTTTGCAAGCCCCCACCCCGAAGGGTCTTTTTTTGGAAAAATGAATTTTGGATTTATTATAAATACCTTTCGATTTGTACTTTACCACAATAAACTTCCCAATGTACAAAAAGAATTTCTACTCTCTCTACTTACTCTCTCGTACAATAGTTACTACACTCCTCTACTTATTCTCTCTAACAATATACTACACTCTACTCTATATTATTCAATTATTCTCTCTACTCTTACCAATCTCTCTTATTAAGTTATTATTCTCTCTAATTTTTGTTTATTTCAATTTTCCAAATTATATGCTTCATTATCATATAATGGCAAGTGCAGGAAATCAAATTCGGGGTAAGGGCAAGGGAAAGATTGAGACATCATCTATCCCTAACCAAACCACATCTATGAGTATGACTTCCCGGCACCAATTATCAATTGTATACGAAGGTTAAATCCAAATGACACACCATTTGAAATGTGCCCTCCAAGCGCGGCTGCAAACATCTGAATTTTAATTGAGGCAATTACGAACGAAGTGGCCCGCCCGGGCATGAAGAGTTAAGAGCAAGGAGCATGGGCACCGAACCCGGCTTCTTATCATTCCGGATGCGGTTGCTGTGTGCGGTTCACCCTCCAAAAAAATTATGCCTCTTACTTCCTCGCCTTCGTAAGTTGTCCGACACATTGTCAAACCAGGGCAGACGCCCTGCGGAATCGGCCCGAAGGGGGCCGGCCGCCCCACTGGGCAACAGGAAAAACGGCCGAGCTGCAAAATTGTATGGATGTGCACTAGCGCCCACCTGTATGTGCCCATTTAAAAAGACGATTGACGGGCGATGATCTCAGGGGTGGCTGAAGACACCAAATTGTGGGGATTAGCAGGAACAAATATAAAACGGCGTCCTCTTCAAGACCAGTAGTTGTATAGAACTCTCGTCTACGCTCTGTGGCGTCTACGTGGCTCCTCCTAAAAAGTGATGTCGCTATATAGATGATGCTCATCATGGAGATCGATCTTCAGCCTCTCGAGTACGTGAGAGTTAGAGCCGCTTCTTAACAGGCTGGAGCGGGCTCACCTGTGCTTAGCATGGGCGCGCGAGAGTGAAAAGAGCACAGATGGAGCCCCAGGCTCGAACGAACCGGAGAGCGAGATCCGCGTTTTCTATGACAAGATTACAGACCGTGGCCTCTCCCGGTCGTTCAGGCCCCAAGGCAGCCCAACGGCCAGACCGCACACCACAATAGTGCGAATAGAGCAAGACAATGGCCCAAAAGAAAGAGGTTGCCACAGTATTCGCCCATTCATTTTCACGAAAGTGAAATTCAGAAGGTGAGAAAAATGTACGACGGAAGTGGGTATTAATTGTTGAAAGACTTATCTGTGGTAAGAATCTAACTATATATAGAATTTAAGACAAGGCGAGCGGCTTATGGCCTATCATTTGAGAAGCATCTTGGAGAGCAAAAAAGCATACACAACAAAGAGCACATAGGGAGAAGCTGATCGTACCGGGGTCTTCAGAAACACAATTTTCGGGTACGCTTTCTAAAGACCTTTCTTAATTTTATAGATATTCTTGAAAAAGAATAGCGAAAGAGAGAGATTAGCATAGAGAACCAAGTGAATTTCTAACATGACAGTATTACTCTTAATAGTATTGGAGTGAAAAAAGCTGACTAATATTAATAATAATTGATCAATAAACGCTTTAAATCTCTTTCTAAGCTCAAACAGGATAAGTACAAAAGAGAAAATACTGCTGGAAGAGAGAATAGTCTATTTCGTAATGTATCTAATAAGGAAACAGGAATAGTTAGAGCTTTTATTTTCTCAAATCGAACCAATTCGTGTTTCTAGATATATGTTAGTAATGATGTACATGCGCAGTAGTGACCCTCCCAGTGGCAAATGGCATTTCTTGTATGGGATATCCTACAATGTCATTGGCCATTGCCATGAATGAATTGAAAAATTCAAATGACAACGAATGATTCAAATCTGGTTTTTTCGTGTTTATACTATTGAATGGCACTAGAACAGGACATGTAGAGAAATATTTATTATAGAGAAGTAAATGTTTCGAAATTTCTATGGTGGAATATAAGCTGACCAAAAAATTTTTCACCTATAATCAGTTGAATTAATGCATTCTGGCCTTAAACATACTAGAAACTTCATATACTTGAACTTCAACAAAAATATAATTGGTTCGAACCAATATGTGATGGTAGGGGAAGAATTTTTTCAGTATAAGACCCATGTGCAAGTAGCCCATGTTTTCAGAATTTTAAATGTTTTGGTCACAAGATATGGCTTTTAACAAAAATTAAACTTTTCGCCAATCTTTTTTTATTTTCTCCTAAAGTTGATGACCATAAAATAGCCTATTGTGTATAATCACCTATTTTATGAAGGCACATCCCCCAAAGTGATGAATTCAAGTTGGGCTAAATTGTAAGAAAATAATAAAAGGACAAAAAATCGTTTTCCAAGGGATGTTCCCAACTTCGTTGGAATTTCAACAATCCGATTGAATTGAACTAAACGAGAGTTTTTTTGGCTTATAAAGGAATTAGGCATGCTTTTTTTGTTACTAATTTAATAGTGCCAGGATTATTAATTTATAATCCACAAAATTGTGGAGATTTGTAATTTGTACAAAAATTTTAGATATTTTAAAAATTTTTAATGATGCTACCTATAAATTTAGTGGGGTTTATTATCCCACATCTCATTTATTTTTACCTGTGTATTAATATTGTTAATGCACTCCAAGAATTTCAAAATGATGATTTATTAAAAGATTGTATTTTTTCAATGAAAAAAAAATGGTTATCTTATTTTAAAAATATAGCACCCCTTTATCTTGTTGCTATTATATTTGATCCTAGATGTAGAATGGATGTTTTATGTGATTATTTGACTATTTATTATGAAGTATTGAATCTTGATGTAGAAGATAATGTTAATATAAATGTAGTAGAAGATAATGTTAATATAAATGTAGTAATGCATGAAGTTAAACAAAATATTATGCAATTATATAATGAATTTGTTCAAGTTTCTAGTTCATCTACTACTCTACTTCTACTTCTACTTCTTCTCAATCTAATATTCACAATCTAATATTCAACAATTTCCAACACAAAGGGTAAGTGGTGTTGGTGTTGCTCAGCAAGTTTTACTACAAAGACAAAAAAGAACAAGGGAATTCAGTTCTATTTCTGAATTTAATAATTATCTAACAACTTCTTTTGAGTTTGGTGATGATTATGCAGATATTGATTTTCCAATTTTAGATTGGTGGAGTCGTCACGCAAATACTTTTCCAATTCTTTCTTTACTTATAAAATAAATTTTAGCAGCTCCGGTCTCCACTGTTGCGGTTGAACAAGCTTTTAGTCAAGGAGGAAACATACTTAATAAAACACGATCTCGTATGACACCCGATTCAAGCATGCATGGATGATTGGACCAAGGCCGAACTAAGACCCAAGAAAATCCAAAAGAAAATGAAGATTTATTTGATTTATACGATGTATCCTCAACGGGAACAACAACCGGTGGTGCAAATAGCGATTAAGGTAAAAGGGGTGAAATTGGTATAAGGTAAGTAAGAATTACGTAGGCTTTGATTCCTCTAAACCCCAATCCTCTAAAACCCCAAGAAGATACGTAGGCAACTTATTTTTTTTTTTAAAACAAAAAAAAATAAGTTTCAAGCCCATGTTTTTTTTTAGAATTATGTCAAACTTTAAAAAAAAAACAAATTCACTTGAAATTTTTTTTTTTAAATAATTATGTTCAAGTCGTTTAAATAAAAAATAAATTTAATTGAAGTATTTTTTAATTTTTTAGGTGTATTTTATGTTCAAGTCTTTAAAAAAATAAATTTAATTGAAGTATTTTTTTAATTTTTTAGGTGTATTTTTTAATTTTTTATGTTCAAATAATTTTTTTTAGACCGGTCTTCAAAATTTAAAATTAAAATTATACGATTCGCCAAAAAACCGATCGGAACCGTCGATTTTGTAACCGAATCGGAACCGGAACTGGAACCGCCGGTTCTGAAACCGTGGCCATGCCTAATCAGCTGCGTAAATAAGGAGTATCATACCCCTTTAAACGCAGCGGTTCTGCTTTTATCTTTATTGAGTGCAAATTTCTAACATATCTCTTTTACATAGTATTTAATGAAAAACAAAATGCAGTAAGTTTTTATGGCTACAAACAATATAGCCCTAAAATAAAACAAACGAGGTTGACGTGTCAACCAAAACCATCGAGTGTTTTTTGCAAATTCTATCATCTTCTCTTAATTTAAAATTTCAGATTTTAGATTTCCCCGATAGAGTTGTTCGGAAATATTAATTAAATATTTATAAAATGGAAAAAATCAGATTTTTTTTTTCCTTGCTTAAATATCTCCAACACAAAATCAAAACGTTCTCACTAACAGGCTACGCTGACGTACGCGGATATTCAAAAAAATGGAGAGAAGCACACCAGTTAGAAAGCCACACACTTCCACTGCCGATCTGCTTACGTGGACGGAGGCTCCTCCGTCAGCTTCACCGGCCACTGCTTCCAGCCACCGCCCCCACCAGGTAAATGTTCTCAGCTCAACGAGACTTGAAAGTTCTGTTTCCCCTGAAAAGTTTGAATTTTTATTTTTCTTTTCTAACTTTTTTTTTTTTTTTTGGGTTGCATTGCCAGCCGTCCGACAGAATTAGCAAGGTGCTATTTGGAGGTCAGGTTACCGATGCAGAAGCCGAGAGTCTCATGAAGAAGTAAGGATCTTGTCTTAATTCTGTTTTTGTTTTCAAGAAATAAATATTCAGTGAGAAAGATTTGTGATTGTTTAAGATTCTGGAACCAGATCTGGTGCTGCAGTTTCTTTTTTGGCTAATTCTGTTTTAAGTAAAGCTTAAAGCTTTCGATAATTCAGTAAGCATGTAGGTTGTTGATAAATGGAAGGAAAGAAATTTAGTGATCTGTTTTGCAAATGGGTTGAGAAGATCAAATTGAGTCATCTCTTATTACTAGTTTTCCTAGTTTGTCTTCTTTCTTAGCCACGCAAGTTTATTTAGAAAGATTTTAAAATTTAAATTGTTTTGCCTCTTACCTTTTCTATTAATAATGTGAATTAAGAGAGCAAATATAGGAAGTTGTTTAATTTCTCATCTCTTACATTATATATGTATAACATAAACTTCCTTATTCCATTTGATGCTGAATGTCAATGCGAAGACAAATGAAAAATTAAAAAAGGGAAAAGCCTACCAAATAGTTCAGATGGAAAAGCATTGACTGTCATCTTTAATTTCTAGTAGCATTTGCTAGGCTTCTTTTGTTTTTTCGATGGTGAGTTGCCTGAAAGATTAGAGCAAGGCATGGAGTATTGGCCTTGATATTCATGTTGGCTTTGTTTTTCTTTTTCTTTTTTTTTTTTTTTTTCTTTGGCTTACAAAAAAGTTATATGCATTAATCATTAAACAATTAAAAGAAGCCTTGGGTTTTGCTACTTTAACTTGGGCTAAGATATGTGGCCCTTAAATTACCAAGTTACCTTTGTTGAATAGAATTTATCTACAAACAGTGATGAAGAGAGAAGAGGAACTTAAAAGATCAACGAAGTTTTCAAATTCTTTTTCTTTCTTTTGGAAAAAAAAAAGTTTCAAAAAGCCCAATTTTACTTGAAAAGACGGAAACTTAAATGTCTATTCCTGATGGTGATCCATGAAGTCCAGGAACAGGGGTAGAAGAAGGATAATGAAGATAAGGTATTTAAGTTGAAGTGTTTGGAAGAGTAAAACCCAAGATTGGATTGCTTAAATTTACATAATAGTAAGATTATCTTGAAGTGCTAATGGACCAGTTGAAAGGCTAAAAGTCATTTGAGGTCCATTGTTCTCTCAAAGTTAACTCTTTATGCAGTTGTTTGAATTTTAAAATTAAAAAAAAAAAAACAATCTTGAAGGTGTATGTGAAATTTGATAGTTAAGCAAAAAAATCATGTAGTATAAATTATTCCAGAATTTATGAATTATAAGGGATCAATTGGGTATGTTCTTTTCCGATTTATTTTCTTTTCCCATGTACTCTTTCTGATTGTATATATGTGAACATTGAGGTGCATCTCTGGAAACGCCTATCAAAAGGGAATTCACCTTTATACCATGTGGGGTTATGAATTATCCAAGCTATCTGAGGTCCTGAATTTTTCCCTTTGCCATCTCCAGGAAGCCCTGTTCCGGTTATAAGTTAAAGGAGATGACTGGCAGTGGTATATTTGCAGCTAATGGTGGAGATAATGCGTCTGAATCTGGCGCTGATAATCCCATTAACAAAACTAGTGTGCGTGTCTATCAGGTACTTTGGTCTCCCTTTAATTATACAAAATAATGCTTGATTACTTATTATCTAAGATTAATCACGATTACATTTCCCATTAATGGTTGCATTTTCAGCAAGCAATGAATGGAATTAGCCAGATATCATTTAATACTGAGGAGAGTATCTCTCCCAAGAAGCCTACTTCTCTTCCTGAGGTAGCAAAGCAGCGTGAGTTAAGTGGAACTCTGCAAAGTGAGTCAGACATGAACAGTAAAAAGCAGATATCAGATGCAAAATTCAAGGAAATAAGTGGACATGACATCTTTGCCCCTTCACCTGAAATTGCACCCCGGTCCTTGGCTGCTGCACGTTCCTTGGAAACAAAGGAAAACAAAGACATTGAGAAACCTGCCCCACGAAACATACGCACTTCTGTTAAAGTTTCCAATGTGAGTGCATGTTTTTATGCGTTCTAAAATCTTCATTTATTATCTAGAACTATACATTATGATCTTATCAGTAAGAGCATAGGAATGTAATAGTTAATTTGGTGCTACTGCTTTCTTCTAAGTTCTGACATAATAACCAATGAACAATGTGAGCTTTGTGGGCTAAATGTTTTCATTGAGGTTCATTTATAGGAGTAGCAGCATTTTGGAAGCACGTCTTCCAAGTGTCAACATTTTGGGACTCTCAAACTGCAAAATGTTCATAGAAAGAAATGCAGTTCAATCCCTCATGCCTGTTAAATGATAGAAAAGGCTCCTAGAATGATCAATCTTGGCCTTTTTGTGGACTGCAATTGGAAATTTTCTTCAGGATTAGGGTCCATTTGGATAGATGTCCATCAGAAGTGAACATGAATTATCTCAAACATCAAGTGAAAGATTATTAACATCAACATTAATGCAAATTCAAATAATTTCTCATTTCAAATCTTCATCTATTCACATGGACTATAAAATTTGTCTTTTGCATTAACAATAAGAATCGACTTGCTCTTGCCACCCCATTCAATGTCTTCACTTTAGTTTTCCATATTCTTGCCAAACTTCCCACTTTTAGAAAACAAGCGCTTTTGTGGTGGGTTGGTTTGTTTGTTGGTAACTGAAATATCATCTTTATGCTAATGCATGCATGATGAATTCCCATTAGCTTTGGCTTCTAGCTCTCTTGCCTAACTAGACTTTGGTTTTTAACTTTTATAGCCTGCTGGAGGTCAGAGTAACATCCTGTTTGGTGAAGAACCGGTTGTTAGGACATCAAAGAAAATACACAATCAGAAGTTTCAGGAGTTGACTGGCAATGATATTTTCAAAGGAGATGTTCCTCCTGGATCTGCTGAAAAACCACTAAGCAGCGCTAAACTGAAAGAAATAAGCGGCAGTAACATCTTTGCAGATGGAAAGTCGGAATCCAGGGACTATTTTGGTGGTGTTCGCAAGCCCCCTGGTGGCGAGAGCAGCATCGCATTGGTGTAAACGGGGCCAATCTAACTCACAAATATTGCTTGATTCGACAGATCCTGGACCTTGTGTTATTCCTGTTTGAGTCCTGTTTGAGTGCTTGTGTTTTGACTGATGTACTACGGTTTTGACATTAGAGTGGTCTATGATGGCTGTGGATTATGTGTAAACTCTTTGATATTTAGATTAAAATGCTAGATGGATGGCTAATTCAGTTATTTCTGTCTCTCAATCATTAGCTCTTCTGGAGCCGTTGTTTTTTTTTTTTGGTATGTATTACGCAGTCCTGTGTTTTACTTCTTGAGACGCAAGGCCATGATTGTATGGTGAAACTGGAAATTTAACTCTAGAATTAAGTTTGATATATAGTTAGTACCCTTTTTAACAATAATTTACAGTTTAGTACTTTGATAAATTTAAGGTACAAATGATCATCTGATATGGTGGTTTTTTTTTCTTTTTTTTCTTTTTTTATTTTGGTTTTGGTTTTGGTTATTTCGTCTTTAACCTTAGCTACCACCATTAATGTGGAATTTATAAACTTCATAAAATCTACGGACTGATCGAGACTTCTAATAGACTGATTGGGTTGATTGAAGCAGGCTGATTAAACTTCCTTATAATCCAGTGTGGATAATGAAGGATTTTTCTTTTGAACATTTAAATTGTTAAATTAAACTTTTATTTAATTATTTTTACTTTTATATTGAACATATAATATCTATGTTGCACAAAAAGGTGAAATGCGGAAACGGATACAGGAAACGATCTTTTTAAAAATATAAGAAACGGAAAGAAATGCGTAAATATGAAAATATAAAGTTATATTTATAAATATAAAAATATAAATTATTATAAATTATTAAATATATTCAACAACAACTCTAATCAATATTTAATCGTATAAAAAAAATACAAGTTCCATACTCATAAAAAATATATGTTTTATGAATTTTTATTTATTTATATAATTATTTTAATTGGAGAAATGAGTTTTTGAGAGTTTTTAGTATGCGAAAATATATTTAGAGAAGGAAAATGTATTTCTAAATTACTAAGTCCGTTTGTTACTGTTATTTATTTTTAGTTTTTTATTTATTAAAAACATAAAACTGTTTTCAGTTTTTGGTTACTTATTTCTCAAAACTGTTTTTTTTTCTAAAATTATTTTTTCTTTTCTTTTAGTTCATAATGTGGAAAATTCTTCCAATTATCAAATCTCTTCCTTATTAAGCTCTTAAAGATTTTAGTTAATAATAAAAAATCTAAAAATATAAAATCTAATATAAAATAATTAAAAATATTTCGCACTTATAATTTTTAAATTCAAAGTTAAATTATATGTTGATTATTATGTATACAATCAATTGAATAAAAATATAATATCTAAGTATTATAATACTTATTTAATTTTTAAATTCAAAGTTAAATAGATGTTGATTATTATGTATACAATCAATTGAATTTAAAAAAATAATAAATCTAAGTATATAATAAATAAAAATACTAAATGACATTAATTTATATGATAGGGGAAAAAAATAATAAATATAAAAAAAATAATAATAAATAGAAAAGAAGATGGAAAACAAAACATAGAATTTTAATTAGAGATAATAATAATAATAGATAATAATAATTTAATAATACAACTTTATAAGGACTAGTCTTATAAAAAAAGAAAAAAGGAATGCTAGAATAAAAAAAGAAAAATACAGTGTTTCATAAATTTTATTTTTTATTTTAAAAAATAATTTTTCTTAAAAGACAAAAAAAAATAATAATAATAATAATAATAATAATAATAATACAACTTTATAAGGACTAGTCTTATAAAAAAAGAAAAAAAGGAATGTAGAATAAAAAAAGAAAAATACAGTGATTTCATAAATTTTATTTTTTATTTTAAAAAATAATTTTCTTAAAAGCAAAAAAAAATAAAATTTCAACAAACAAATTTTGTTTATTTTTTAAGAAAAAACGAAAAAAAAAAATAATCTAAAACAAGCATCACCTTAATTTACTGAAACGGCCCCAAAACGTTTTTGAAAAGTTTTCAGTATTTCTGAAAATGTTTCCGAAATGCGAAAACGGCAATCAAAGGAAGTTTCCATGCATCATACTATAATATTTAGTGTGGATAGCCAATTAGTTATTTTTACTGATTTATATCCCTTATGAGTCGTAACTACTTTGGAATCATAGATTTGATAAATTTTCTCACAATAATCTCTCATGAGTCCTAACTATTTTGGAATCATAGATTTGATAAATTCTCTCACAATAATCTCTTATGAGTCTTAACTACCTTGAAATCGTAGATTTGATTCTTAACTACCTTAAAATCGTGTATTTGATAAATTCTCTTGCAATAATCCTTTGCGAATAGTAACTACTGTTAGTTTATAACACAGAAGCATTGGAGAACCAAAACCACTCTCCACATTTTCTTTTCCTGTTTTTTTTTTTCTTGGTTTCTTTTATTTTATCAGCAAGCTAACAACTTACAAAAACGATATATAATATATGTTCCTTTACGATCCCTTGGTGTTGCTAAACCGAAAATGGAAAGGACAGAAGTTGGAGAAGCGCTTACTTGTAGAATCGCAGGCCCTCACTTCTGCAGCCTTCACAGAAGAACACATTCAATCTCTTCGAAACTATGTTGTGCGCTTGATCTGTGATGTAAGTTATTTCTTTCTTCGTTTTAGCTTTTCCGAATGTGAAAGTTTAGGTTCGATTTCTCAAGTGTAAAGTAGTTAATGGACCGATAAAAATAAAAGTAGAGACACAGTATTAATTGTTTTCCTGATGAGCAAATAGATAAAAATAAAGGTCATTGAAATTAATTTCTATTGCTCAGTTTTTCTTTGAAAAGAAAATTAAATTTCTCTTTCTTTTTTTCTAGTGATTTTATTGATTCAACAGTGCTATATATACAGTTATGAATTTGGAGAATTTATTTAATAGATTTACTTATTTATTTATTTGTTCAATTTGCAATTCGTTACAGTATTCGAAGACTCAGAAATTTGATGCCATTATCCCATTTCATGCTGTGACCTACTTTGATCATTTTATGTCGAAATATCCATTTCCGGTATTCAATTATAAATTTGACATCTCAGTTTGAAGTTCTAGAAACTTACAATTTGATTGTTTTGAACTGATTTAAACTTGTTGATTTAGATTTTAAATGAGGAATACTTTTACTCCATAGCTTTAATTTCAACATTGAATTCCGAAGTCAACCAGATCATTATTCAAGATCAAGGAGGTAATTTAATTAGTTAATTTAGTTAGTTTTTTTTTTTTTAAATTCATCTTAACTGATCTAATTTCCTTTTAATTTCAGATATAAGTTCACCCAATTCAAACCCTCAATTTTTAGAACGGTAACTAATTAATTAATATCAAAGACAAAGTATTTTCATTTTAATTAAATATTAAATGATCAATAATTTGAATTTGTATTGAGTTTGAATTTTAATTGAATTATGCTTTCAGGATAAAGAGCAATTAACAACTTCCATCAATGAGATGAGAGTTGTTTCAAAGGAGGCCAAAGGAGTAAATGATGTTGCACGCAAGGTAAAGAAGCAGAAAAAGAAAATGGCATCATCAGCGTCATCAGATACAGAATTATTGGGTTTTCAAGTAAACTGGAAAGTTAGTGGAAATGCAGCTGAAGAATTAAATAAATTTGATTTATCATTGTTCATGGAGCCTGCAGAGCCAGAGGTTAAAATTCTAGGCTGCATTCCGCTAAAATGGTTGCCATGTTGGGGTTACTAATGAAACTTTTTAGTACAAAAATTGGATTGACATACCAAAACAATTGACTGTCATCTTTAATTTCTACTAGCATTTAGGCTTCTTTTGTTTTTGTGCTGCTGTGTTTTCCCCCGAATGATTAGAGTAAGGCATTTAGTATTGTTGAAGTGTGTGGAAGAGTAAAGCCCATGTATTGAAGCTCCAATTGATTGACATGTTGAAAGGCTAAAAATACTTTTGAGGGCCATTGTTCTCTCTCAACACCCTTTACTAAAAGGAGAATTCAGCATGGACTTTATGGCAAGTGGGGTTATGAATTGTCCTAGCCATCTAAAGTTCCCTTTGCTATATCCAGCCCCAGGGAGAACTATTCAGCTAATAAATTAACGGAGATGACTGGCAGTGGTACGTTGGGTGCTTTTTTGATCTTTCAATATTTATGTACAAAGGTTCTTGATTACTCATATATCAAAGATTCATCATGATCATGGTGAAAGCAGAAAAATTTGGTCAGGGCATATCAAAGTTATCTAACATTAAATATAACAATGAAAACAAATATGAAAATAAAGATAAAAAGAAAATTAGAAGTCTCATCGAATATAGGTATAGGCTGGGGCAATTCGACTCCTCTAAGCTTAAACAAACGTTCGGCCGGGTATCATCTACGTAACTGAAATTTTGTTTCTTAATGGGCAGGCCTCCTATGGATTCCTCCAACTCTGAAATTTTGTTTCTTAACGGGTCCTATGGATTCCTCCAACTGAACGAAGGAAGGAATATTGCCTGAAATATATCTTTATTTTCAAATCTCAATATAATAAATTTTAATTGTAGGCTCTCAAATTTAGGAATTATAAGTTTTTGGTATTTACAATAATAATAATAATAATATCATAAAAATTTCAAAAACAAAAAAAATAATCATTGCTCAATCCTATCTATAGTATTTCTTAAAATTTTTTGATGGAGGATGGACACAAAAAAAAAGGTGTGGTTAGGTAAACCACGCATGTCCAGATAAATGAAAAAAAAATTAGCTACATTATATATTTTCAAAGGGGAAATTTATAATGGTGTCTTGACAAAAAGAAATACTCTAGCCCTGTATTTTTTTAATTAAACTACTATAACCTTATATTATTAACCCGTTACACTCTATTAACTTTCGACCATTTTTATCAGATTTGGATGTTAAGATGTAGTGAAATTACTCTAATAACCTCTAATAAAAAACAAAATTAAAGGCATTTGACTTGGGAGGGAGTAGGGGAATAGGGAAATAGGAAGCGTCTCCAACCTCTTGACCGTTTTCAAAAGAACTGAAAACCGAGGGAAACTATTAAAGATGCGTCCATTCTGATAGTGTCGTTGTTGGAGTGTTTGAAGAAGCAGTGACAGTGATAGCGAATGCGCGTAAGAAGTAAATTGAAACCTTCCTCTTTTTCCTTTTTGTAATGTACTGGATCAAAGTAGTTTGCTTTGAAATGAGAATTTTCATTCAATTTGTATGTGATTAGGGTTTAGTTTGATATGCTATAGAATTGTTTTGAACTATAATGTGAATATCTAGGGTTTAACTGAGTTATAGTCTGTTTTTTCAAATAACAGAATGGCTCGGTAAGAATTGTATGATTTTATTATTACATTTGAAGGGCGTGTAGCTACAATTGAAAATATAGATGGTGAGGAATACTCTTATTTACAGTTGGTAAAGGATATTTAGGAGTTACACAATATTGAGGCCTCATTCATAGAAATAAAATTTGGAGGGAACTTATAGAAAGTGATGCTGATTTTATGTGTATGTTTGCGTCATATGATTCTTCTTGTGAGGTTGAGCTATTTGTTCAAGCTAGCCATGTTGAACCTCTTGCTTTTGAAGAACGTGAACAAGGCTCTAATGTAGTGGAAGAGGTGGTTATGCAGCGCAACGTGTGCAGTGATGCTGGGTTTAGGGATGGTAGTGTAGTTTATGGGGGAATGATTGATGCACGTGTAGAGAGCTGTAATAGAGGTGTGAGTGAGGAGGAAAATGCATATGTCAATATAGTTGAGAATGCAAATGGAGGTGTCTGTGATAAGGATGTCAATGTGGATGAGAGTGCAAATGTAGGGGGGCTGTGATAGGGATGTAACTGAGGATGGAAATGCAAATGTAAGGGCTGTGATAGGGACAGAAATGCAAATGCTGAAGAATATCATTGTGCAAGTGGCTGTGAAGGGGTGTGAATGAGGGGGGAAATGAAAATGCAAGTGGCTATGAGGGCGAACCAGTGTTGGATGTGAATGATAGGGGAAATGAAAATGCAGAACCAGTTGTGAATTTGAATGTTGTTAAACCAAGTGAATGTGAACGAGGGGAGAACTGTTGTTGAACCACCTGTTAATTTGAATGAGAGGGGAAACGATGTTGAACCAGATGGGGGTACAAATGTGATACAGAGACAGAGGCAGGGGGGAAATGTTGGGAATACAGATGTGAGACAAAGATAGAGGCAGGGGGCAAATATGCAAGGAATGCTTAGGGTCAGGGGAATTCTCAAGAATATATACATGGTTCTAATATCTGGGACAATATAGCCCATGAATCTCCATTGTATGACATGTGAGGTGAGAAAGAGGGCAGGTAGGCCCAAAAATAACAGAATCAAGCAAGATGGTGAAGGGCCTCCGGCAACTAGAAGCACAAGGGCAAGCACAGTAAGATGCAAGCAGTGCAGTCAGTTAGGGCATACCAAGAGGACTTGCACATCGACTCCATCAAGCCAGTAGGTATTTCAAATATTTATGGCTTTAACATGTTACTAGACCTACTATTTTCACTAAACTTATGGATATCTTCACATTTGCAGTCACAGAGACAGAGATGGACTGCAGGTGCTGCTGGATCAACATCAGGACAAAGAGGAGCAAGAAATGCAGAAACTGCATAGTAGGAACACAACATGGATAATATCAACTTCTTTTGGGACTTAGGAACTTTAGATCTTGGATATTTTGGAATTTTGGCATTTTGACAAATATAAATTATTTGCTACAATGTAAATTTGTACAAACACTATAATGTGCATAGATTGTTCTTCTTTGGGATGATTATTCATAGTGATTTGTAATAAAAAAATCTAGAGGAAATGTTGTTCTAGATTTCTCATAGCAAATATGTAATGAAACATTGTTTTTGGATGAATAGAAAGTTGCAGAAACTGTCTTTTGCCTTCATATTACTCTTGATGTTTTTAGCAGGCTTTATATTACAACAAGTTTAGAGCCGATTTTTTATCACAAAACATTTTCGTCATTTATGAACACAAGATCATTTCATACAAAAGGTTGTCTTTGCATTAATAAGGGTCGTTACATTCTTCCAAACTTCCAATCACATTAACTGTCAACTACCCAACCATTCACTCCCAACACATTAACCATTACACACCCACCATTATATTACCCACCATAGAAACAAATTAACAGTTGACTTCCTTATCAACTAAACCCAAAAAAGCAGCAAAAAACACCTAGCTATCCATCTAACCCACATTGCAAAGCACAATCAGAAAACCACAAAAGAAGCTAAAAACACCCAGCTAGCCATCTAACCTATCTTGCAAAGCACGAACAGAACAAGGATGAAATTCACTACAGTGCATATCATGCATAGAGCAAAGCTAATCTTCGTGTAGCCAATGACAAAATCCAACCCATCGAACTTGCCCTGAATAGGCCTATTTTCATCATTTTGGCGCACAACAATATCTGTTAGGTCAAGTAGATCCCTTACAATGCTGTTCCTTAGCTTCATTTCAAAACTTTCAACCTCCATTGTATCTCTAGCCATTCTTGTCTCCCTAGTGCTCTCAATGCACGAATCAGCAATCTTGCACCATCCAAGGAAGCTGCCACACTCGTTATTCTTACAAAAAAGTAGGGCCTCTTCTTGTTCTTGCTTGTCTCGGAAATTCTGATCACAGCTTGCTTCCCGCATTTGCAAAGAAAGTTCAGAAATCTGCCCTTATTTCCGCAGTCAGTTGCGCTAGAAGATGAATTGCTCCTCCTTTCATACATTGAAAAATCCTAATCCAATTGCTTCTTTCTAATTTTTAAGCTGCCACACTCGTTATTCTTACAAAAAAGTAGGGCCTCTTCTTGTTCTTGCTTGTCTCGGAAATTCTGATCACAGCTTGCTTCCCGCATTTGCAAAGAAAGTTCAGAAATCTGCCCTTATTTCCGCAGTCAGTTGCGCTAGAAGATGAATTGCTCCTCCTTTCATACATTGAAAAATCCTAATCCAATTGCTTCTTTCTAATTTTTGCTCTTCATTTCACTTATTTCACCGATTTAAAACATAACAGTTGTGTAAGGATATCTTTGTCATATATCTGCTTCTCTCTCTTTGGACCGTCAAGAATTTCATTGGCTTACTCCAAATCTGATAAAAATGGATGGAAGGTTAATAGGATATAGCGGATTAATAATACAAGGTTAATAGGGTAAATTTTCCTTCAAAAACAATAATAATTAAAAGTTAGTTTCAATGAAATATTTTTATTTTAATTATAGAAAAAATTATATAACATGAGTGTTATTTTCTTTTCTGAAACAGGAATATTTTATTATATAATAGTTCATATGAATGCTACGTTCATGACTGGAGTCACGAAAAAATAGAGATTAGTTTTCTTGTTCTATAATGAGTGGATAAATGGGTATGTGGAATCTATATTGGATAGTGGAGAGCAGTTGCCATTGATTGAAGAACAAAATAGTAAATTACAACACGAAATAGACGAAAATTAAAAAAAAAAAAAATCCAAATATTCATTAGAAAGAGAAATAAAACAGTTAAAACTCACTGTTTTTCGGTTAATGTCCTATGGGGTTTTTAATTGCAAAAATATACTAATAAATAATTTCATAATAATAGACATATCAAAATATAAGTTATAATGATTTTAAATATTTTAATAATGTTTAAATCATTCATAAACACACAAAATATAAAAATATTTGTGTGCTAATTAAATTATATTTTTTATATTTTATTACATAGATAATTAAGTAATTATTATTAGTTATAAAATAATAATTTTTGGATCTTTCATTTATTATGAAATATTTTAAGAAAAACAAGTCAGTAGATTCCAAATTTTGAACCATGACTTTTTAAAAAAGATCATTATGTTTTAAGCATTTGATCCATTTAGCTTATAACGCAAAATATAATTACTTTTTTTCATTTAAAATTAAGGTTGTTCGACTGAAAAAAAAAAAAAGACCATATTTGAAATGATCTAAAAAATTTAATTTCGTAGAATTTTTATTTAGAAATTAAATTTTAAATTTGACAAATGAGATTATACAATAAAATATTTAATTATTATTAAATCGAACCCATAAATCAGCTTGAAATTTTTGAAAATCAGGTGAAAAATCCGTAAACCAAGTGGAAATCGAGTAGGATCGCTGATTTGGACAAAACCGGTTTGAATCGAACCGGAATGGCCCAGAATCTCTAGGACCGTCTTCTCTTTTCTTCTTCTCTTCTTCTTGCTTTCTTCCTCGCCAGCGGGCCAGCGCCGTTCCCCTCCCTTCCCGTTTCCGGCGATCGTTCTACGCAAGGGAGGCGGCGATCGACTTCCCCAGAGCCGCCGATCCCTTTTCCGGCCTTCCCTCACGCTGAGCGTACCTGCGGTGGCGCGAGTTGAGCTGTCTCCCTCGACAGTCTCTGCTCCACGCCGTTTCCGGCGATTCCAGGCCACGAATCAGATGCGATCGACCTCCTTTCCTCCCCTGCTTTTCTTTTTATGGCTTCAGTCTTGAGTGATGTCGCCTGGATCGGAAAAACCCAAAGAGGGGCGGCTGGCCGAAGGTTTAGATGCGATTTCCGACCAAACGAGGCACACTCAGCTCCAATTGGTTGTATATTTGAGGTCTTTGCATGATTTCGAGCAGTTTGGCGTGCGGGTTGCTCAATTCTGGGCTGTTTGGATTTCTCCGACCACCGTGCACGGTGGACGGCGGCCGGCTGGCAAACCTCCGGCAAGGCACCAAGAGACAGAATCTTCCTCTCATCGCGTGGACTGTGGAATCGTCGCCCGAAATTCGATTGGTACGCTCTAAAACCCAGTTCTTAATTTTTTGTATAAACTCTAACTTTAAATCTAACGGCTAATTTAGTTAATTTCGAATAAAATAGTTAGTAGAAGGACTTAGAAATATTAGGTTGGTGAAATAATCAGAGATTATTAGGAGAATTGGGACTCAAGATTAAATTGCTAGGAATTAGTTAGTGGCATATTACACTATGCAAATTAATTTTGAACATTGCTAAATATATTTCATGAACATTAGTTATAACTAGAAGGTTTGATATTGAAATAAAAATTCCTAGCTAATATTTATGTAAGTTAATTTAGGAATTTTAATAAATATTGTTAGGAGTTATAATATAAGGTTTAAACAAGTAATTAGTTATAGAACACTTAATAATATCATTGGAAAATACTTGGAGATTAATATAAATTGTTAATTAATTGATTTGGAATTATTAAGTGTATATATGTGAGTGTGATGGATGATATATGTAGTCTGAAACGGATGGATTGGTTGGATGGATTGCCCGATGGATAGGCTGTGTGAATGAGTGAACGAATGATTGTTGGATGTAGTTATGTTGGATGGGATGAGTTGATGTGTATTGCACTATGGATGGGCTTTGAAATTTATCGTTGGATGGGTATTGTAATTATAATTATAATAAGTATTAATTTGGGAGCTTCGTTGTGATTAATTGCAACTGCAATTGAGAAGTAATTAATTAATTAGGTATTGATGCGGTGCACATCAATAGGCATATATATACTCATATATTGGGATGTTTAGAATTAATGAATGAATATCTAAATCTCCTATTTTCTATTCTCTCTCTTCCTCTTCTCTATTCTTTTATTTTTCTCTCCTTTTCTCTTCATTTCTCACCTTCCAAACACTACTGTTATGTTATTTTCACATAAACAGTTGGGATCCATTATCTATGATCCTAACAAAAACATGTTAGAAATTAATTTTCTGTCAATCTGATTTTCTTTGCAGAGAAAATTAAATTTCTCTTTTATTTAGATTTTCTATGATCGGTTCTACATAACTGGTCAGTGCTGGTTAGATTTACAATTATTTTACAGGCTTTAAGTGAGAGAAGTTCGGATGCCCGGATCTCGTACACTGCTTTAAATACTTTCTTTTGACTGCTTCATAAGGAACAACGCACATCTGGTTGGCATTCAGAATTTGACATCTCAATTCTGCCTTCATAAGGAAACAACGCACATCTGGTTGGCATTTCAGAATTTGACATCTCAGAAATTAATTTTCTGTCAATCTGATTTTCTTTGCAGAGAAAATTAAATTTCTCTTTTATTTAGATTTTCTATGATCGGTTCTACATAACTGGTCAGTGCTGGTTAGATTTACAATTATTTTACAGGCTTTAAGTGAGAGAAGTTCGGATGCCCGGATCTCGTACACTGCTTTAAATACTTTCTTTTGACTGCTTCATAAGGAACAACGCACATCTGGTTGGCATTCAGAATTTGACATCTCAATTTGCTTAAACATTACAATTTTTTTCCTTATGAACTGATGACTTCAACTTTGGGTTTATTTAGATTGTAGAAGAAAATGAGAGCATATGTTATCAGGCTTCATATATGGCGGAGGTCTGCCTGTCGAGGGCTTACTTGCTTATACGGCTGATATTCCATTTTTAAAATTTACGTTTTTGCTTTTCAAGTCTATTTCTTTAAATTACTAATATATCTACTTCATTTACAGCTAACGGAAATAGACCAACCCAAAAGCGGAATTGATACAACTCGTCAAGTAAAGGAATTTCCAGACTATACTTGTTCAACTCCTCAGCTACCTCTCGTCTGCCATGGCCCACTTTACTGGGAAACCCAACTCCATTGACTTCTTTATCTGTTATCTATTTGGGCGTCCATTCTCCGTATTTCTGCCCTTATTCTCTCTCTGACTGCAGTGACAGCTGCTTCTCTAGGTCTTCTTTTTCGATTTCTATATCGGAGTCTGATGACTCCATCGGCTGCTTCCCTTGTCCTTTATCTTCTACTTCTATTTATTGATGGCGCCATTGGCTGCTTCCCTTCTCTGTGTGGAACACCAGTTACTTCTTTAGCTTCGGGTAATTGATCTTCAACTTTTTCACTTGAGCTCGCTCTGCTCTCTCCTGCTATCTGAGTTTCCCTTTTCTCCTTTGCTAAAACATTTTTCATTCCCTTAATCATTGCGTCGAAGCACCTTCCTAATTCCTTTTTATCCTGAACAAAAAAAAAATAATTTAAACCAGGCGCTCCTTATCTAATATTTAATCTAAATGGAAATTTATTGTTCTGATATTAGTTAATTACCAGCCTCACACATCCAATTCCCATTTTATTAACCATTGCGTAGAAGCCCCTCATCAGTTTCCATTGGCTCTGAAATGAAATTTAATTTAGATTCAAACTCAAAATATTGATTATTTAATTTAAATGAAAATTATTGTGTCTCATGCAAATAAATTATTACCCATTTGCCAAATTTTGAATCTGAAAGCGCATTCTTGACTCTTTGAAACTCATTAGGATTCCTCTAAGGACCAACAGCAATTAGAACAGCTGATGTCGCCATAAGGGAAGGTTTATACTTCCGTTATCAGGCTTCATATATGGCGGAGGCTTGCCTATCATGGGCTTACTTGCTTATACGGCTGGTATTCCATTTTTTAAATTTGCGTTTTTGCTTTTCAAGTCTATTTCCCTAAATTACTAATATGTCTGCCTCATTTACAGCCAACAAAAATATACCATCCCAAAAGCAGAATCGATATAACTCGTCGAGTAAAGGTGCAACACTGTATAGATAGTGGACTTCAACGAATAGGATCAGAACAACCTATTAATGCTTTAAACTTCGTGAAATCCTTTCTGTCTCAAGCTCGAGGAAGACCTATGTGAACCAGATATTTGTTCAAGGCCATGAAGGTATATATTTGTTATGTCTGTAATTAAGAAGAAAAGTACATTAGTTTGAGCAATTAAAATCAAATTAGACGAATTAGAACAAATATATACTTTCATGGGCTTGAACAGGTATTTGGTTCTCATGGGTCTTCTTTGAGCTCGGGACTCCAGCTCTAGACAGAAAGGGTTTCACGAAGTTTAAAGCGTTAACAAGTTGTTTTGGTCCTATTCGTTGGAGTCTACTATCTATACGGCGTTGCACCTTTACTCGACGAGTTATATCGATTCCGCTTTTGGGTTGGTCTATTTCCGTTGGCTGTAAATGAGGCGGATATATTAGTAATTTAATGAAATAGACTTGAAAAGCAAAAATGCAAATTTTAAAAATGGAATACCAGTCGTATAAGCAAGTAAGCCCTTGATAGGCAGGCCTCCGCCATATATGAAGTCTGATAACGGAAGTATAAACCTTCTCTTATGGCGGCATCAGCTGTTCTAATTGATGTTGGTCCTTGGAGGAATCCTAATGAGTTTCAAAGAGTCAAGAATGCGTTTTCAGATGCAAAATTTGGTAGATGGGTAATAATTTATTTGCATGAGACATAATAATTTTCATTTAAATTAAATAATCAATATTTTGAGTTTGAATCTAAATTAAATTTCATTTCAGAGCCAATGGAAACTGATGAGAGGCTTCTACGCAATGGTTAATAGAATGGGAATTGGATGTGTGAGGTTAGTAATTAACTAATATCAGAACGATAAATTTCCATTTAGATTAAATATTAAATAAGGAGCTGTCTGGTTTAAATTAATTTTTTTTTTTTTTTTTGTTCAGGATAAAAAGGAATTAGGAAGGTGCTTCGACGCAATGATTAAGGGAATGAAAGATGTTTTAGTGGATGAGAAAAGAGAAACTCAAACAGCAGGAGTGAGCTCAAGTGAAAAAGTTGAAGATCAATTACCTAAAGCTGAAGAAGTAACTAGTGTTCCACATGGAGAAAGGAAGCAGCCAATGGCGCCATCAATAAATAGAAGTAGAAGATAAAGTACAAGAGAAGCAGCCAATGGAGTCATCAGACTCCGATTTAGAAATCGAAAAAGAAGACCTAGAGAAGCAGCTGTCACCGCAGTCAGAGAGAGAGAATAAGGGCAGAAATACGGAGAATAGACGCCCAAATAGATTAACAGATAAGAAAGTTAATGGAGTTGGTTTTCCCAGTAATGTAGGCCATGGCAGGTGAGGAGTTGAATAAGTATAGTTTGGAATTGTTCCTGGAGCCTGCAGAGGAGGGGATTCTAGCAAAGATCACGGCCTGCTGCAACCGCTAAGGAGTGTCTATGCTTTAAATTTCAAACTGGAAACTTATATTTCATACTCTCTCAAACATTTTCCAAAGAAGTGCCTATGTTTTCTTAAATTGGGAAATTATGTTTTTTTTTTATCTTTTTCTCTTTTGATGAGATGTTCTGATGGCACTATATATCTTAAGAATGAAAGCTTGCAGGTCGGTGTGTTTTTCTTTTGCTTGAACTGGTGGAGTTTATGGATCTCCATTTTTGCATTTCCATTTGTCTCAAACAAACCTGAATTGGTTTATATTTTTACGTTCTCAGTCTTGCACAGAAACAGACCTGAATGAATGATTCAGGCAATTGAAAAACGAAGTTGAATTTCTGACCCTTAAATTTAATAATGTTTTTCTAGTATTTTATATTTTTGGCACTTCTTAAATGTCATGAACACGAAGATCTGGAGAAATCTGATTTAGCCATGTTCACGGAGGCTGTAGGGGCAGAGAAACAAGGATTTCTAGCCTGGCTCAGTAAATTTTACATTCCGCTAAGATGTCTGCCATGTTGGTTCATAAATTTCTTGGTAGAAAACATGGATTGACACAACAGAAGTATGTTTTTGTTTTCCCTTTTGATGAGATATTGTGGGTGTTGCTTCAAATTTCCAGTGGGAGCTTATGTGGCAGTATATGTTCAGAATGAGAACTTGTAGGCTCGTATATTTTTCTTTTGCTGGAATAGATGCAGTTTATGGATCTCCATTTTGCATTTCCATTTGTCTATAACAAGCTTGAATTGGTTTAAATTCCTATGTTCAATCTTGCACAGAAACAAACCTAAATGATTCAGGCAGTAAAAAAAACCGAAGTTAGATTTTTAACACTTAAAAATAATAGTATTTCTAGTACTTCCATGTTTTTGACACATCCAATAATTCCATTTTAAGTCAGAAAATTCTAAAAAATGTTGCTAAGATTATCTTAAACATTGTATTGATCCTAAGTTAAATGCCTCTTTTCTGAAGCTCAACTCAACTAGACAACATATTAATCATAAACAACACCGTAATGTAATTCTCATTAGCCCATAATATGTTTCATTCCCAGGCGGCCCACTCTTCTCTTACTATATTCCTCGTCTATAGTTCATGGCACATAATATTTAACACACAGTAACAGTAAGACACTCATACACCGTAGGATATAGCAAAACAATCACAGGTAAAAATACATTCATCAAAACTAAAGACACCCCATGTTAAGTCTACCGGAAAAGCATAAACAACATTGACACAAACGTTTCTCAAGCATCCTCATGGCCAATCAATGCAAGAAGCATTTTCTCATAATCCCCAGAAGTGTCTCCAGAAATAGCACGATCAAGAGTAACACTGTTCCGGCGATGGTATTCCTCTTTAATCCGTTGCATATCCACCTCTGCCCTAGTGGTGACAACTCTAGTAAGCGCCAATTCATCTGTCCCCAGCTTGTTGATGGCAAGCCGCAAAACCTTCTCAAAGTATTTTTCAGGAGTGGTCAAACACTTAATTGTTGCTCTTAGTAAGTTCAGGAATTCATCCTTTGGGTCACCCTTCAAATCCTGCAAATAGAACAGAATTCTTTAATAGATTTACCCCTTGTTTTGTACAAATGAACTTTAAATATTTGAATTCATTTATAAATAATAAAAATTTTGAATTCCATAAAATTAAATTTATGAGTGAAATAAGCATTTTCATTTAAACAAAACATTAAAACATAAAAGTCCAAATGCAATCTAGAAAATTTTGTACCTTAGGCAAATTATAATTTCACAGAAACTTAAACATAAGAAGTCAGCATACTATTGAGAATTGTTAGTTTTTATTACCTTGTTGATGGCATTCCCAAATGCATTGTTGTAGTGGTTGAGTGTTGCATTAAGTTGTGCCTTACTTCTTGTGGCGATGATCCTAATGATCTCTTCGTCACTATAAGCTTTATGTGAGATCTTCTCATGAAGTATCTTAGCCTCTGATTTTGCCAATGTCATGTTCACCTCATCTCCCTCATATCGGAATGCACTAACAAGAGGAACCAACAGCTGCAAGAGAACAGTAAAACTGAAAAAACCGATTTGACGTGGGAGCAAGAAATGGTAAAAAAAAATAGGTACAATATATAGGAGGAAAAAACATCCAAGAAAGGACTATAAAAGGGAAATCATAAAAGCAAAGAAATGCATGTTTCTGTTCCATGTATACAACTTGTTGCAATTTCCAAAGATCAAATTTGGTACACAAAAACCCACCACAAAATTCGACTTCTACTCACATATGTTCATCTGAATTCAGATAAGTGACAAACACTCAGAACTCAAAAATTACTCAATCTTTTAGTCACAAAATGATAGAACAACATCAAATTCATATAAGCCAAAAATGCCACAAAAGAGTAACATAAACAGCATTCTTAAAAGATTGAAGGCAGCACCTTGCGGAAGTCTCCAGTTGTGTGGTATGCAACATCTTCCTCGAGGGATTTCTTAAAACGAGCATGATACGCCTGCCTCACCTTAAATAGATCGAGTGAAGACCTAGAACAAGCTATTTCAATGAGAACCCAGTTGCTTGAAGTGAACTTCTTGGTAGCTTCATTAGCCAAATATGCATCACGTTCAGCAGGATCCAGTGTCCATAACAATACAGCTCTCTGAATGAGATAAACAATTTTGCACAATCAAGCATTAGCTTCGGCCATATAAAAGAAATCTCAATATTAGGCTGCCTTACTTCCCGTTCAAAAGGTTAAGTAAATATAGCATCAATTAACATTAGATGCACCAAAATCTGACCTCAAAATCACTAGAGAGTTCTTTGTCTAAGGCTTTAAGGAGATCTTCCCCATAAGCTTCAGCATAAGTCTGTCTAATTAAGTTGCGTTGAGCTGCATTCCTGTGAGCCAAAATGGAAATAATCAATGCCTCATTTGTGCCCCATCCTGCAAAACATGATCATAATATCTCAGAACTGGTCTGTCCAAAATGTTACAGAAAATTAAAGAGATATGGCTCGCAATAATAAACTAATCATCTCACAAATGGAGCCCAGATTAACACATGAAGATAGCTAAAATCAGAATTGTAATGTCATTTATACTGAAAATCAGATATTTGACAGTTGAATGAATTGTAATGTGCAAATGATAATCAAATTCAAAGACACCTCTGATCTAAATATGCTAAACAAGCTCAAATTAATGATCTTTGTTTCTTCTTGTTTCTTTTTTTAGATAACTCTTGGTCAAAGCTAATAGACAATCAGATATTACAACTGAAGCTAAAAATACAAGAACAGAAGTCTACTTTTGCAAATTGCAACAAACCTATCCAAACACTAACAAATAAAATAAAATAAAGGAGACCCATTTCTTAAACCATCATTCAGAACTTGCCAAAGTAGATAAGTGCGCAGAGATCTATTTCTAAACAAGAATCTGCAAATTATGTTCGACTCAAAAATCAGACCATCCATTTTTAAATTAATTAATCAAGATCGTTTACTTAAAACTAATCTCTCCATGATCAACATCGGATAAATCTTGTAAAAAAACCATAACCAATAATGAAAGATCGATTGATCGTACGAATAAAATGACTGCACTATATTGTAGGATCAACCTTTATTAATTAAAACCAAATAGAAATTTAAATAAAGACAGACCCAAAAAAAGAACCTTCAAAGGCTTTGTGAAGCTGCTCTGCATCCTCAGATGGAGCTGGAACGTGGGCAGGAACTTTAACGGTCGCCATTGTTCGTGAGAAATCGAAAACGGTGGCTTGATAGTTAGTTTCTTTGGAATGGCTTTTGGCCTGCTTTATAATAATAATTGCACGACATGAAAATGAAAGGAAATTTCTAGCGAAATGATTTCATTTCCATAATTTCGTTACGAGAAATTAAAAAAAAAAAAAAAAATACCATTGTGATCCGCGCCTGTGTTTATCTTTCATTATTTTGGGCCAGGGCCAATAATTATTTTGGGCCAGGGGCATAATCGTGTGTAACACGAGTTCACCTAGCTCATTTTGGGCTCCGCTTGGAATGACTATGGATGACAGCTGACAGCGGGAGCGGCTAAGCTCTAGAAATCAACTATCCGAACCGACTAGCAGTACTGGTACTCAGTCGATCTTGCTCTAGCCGCTTTCGGCTTAAGGAAAGGTTTTCTTTTCCTTTCCATGAAGTTTTTGTTCCAGGCCCCTTCTTAGTCAATGGACTGATAGTTGAAGGAACGGGATCATGACTTTGACTTATAGGTCAAGGTAACACGGAGAGTTCACCTACTTCATTTTGGGCTCCGCTTGCGAAGACTATGGATTTGACAGCTGAACAGCGGGAGCGGCTTTAAAGCTCTAGAAAGAAATTCAACTTTCCGAACCGACTAAAGACAAGTACTGGGGATACTCAGTCGATCTTGCTCTAGCCGCTTTCGGCTTAAGGAATTGCTCTAGCCGCTTTCGGCTTAAGGAAAGGTTTTCTTTTCCTTTCCATGAAGTTTTTGTTCCAGGCCCCTTCTTAGTCAATGGACTGATAGTTGAAGGAACGGGATCATGACTTTGACTTATAGGTCAACCTGTAAGTGAAGGAAAGAACAGCTGTAAGTTAAGGTTTCAATGGAGTTGAACCTGCACCCGAACCAGAGGAGGGACCGAAGAAACTGCTCGTATCCATTCCAAATCCTTTAAAGAATAAATTATTATATCAAAATCCGTTTAGAACCTACTTAAAATCTGAAACTGAACTTGAAAATACTAAAAAAATAAAAATACATTAAAATTCAACCTGAAATAATAAAACAATTTAACCTTCAATGTTCTAGAACAACAGTACCAGTAATTTAACCTGCAAAGACAATAACTGATGCTATTTTGGGTCTCCGCTTTGATGACTCATCCAGTAATTTAGCTGCTGCAACTCTTTTCTACGTTTGATGGTTGATGTAAGTTTTTCTGCTTGGTTGATCATAAATCTAGTTAAAGCTTAAGCAGCTATATTTGAACCCTAATGCTTTAATGGTTTTCTTCACTCAATCAAAAGTGCTGTCTGTTAGAAAATATAACTTTCAATTTTCTGTACAGGCATGAAGAAGTACGGAAATTTGTTATGCTTAGTTTTGATTGTTGCTCTAGGATATAATATTTAAATAAATGTTTTTATTTTCTATGGGTTGTAAACATCACATTAATGGGGAGCCGCTTGAATCCAATAAACGAAGTCAACTGGGAAGCGGGATGTCTTTCCTAGGTAGTTTGGTATGTGAGTGTTGTTAGCCGCCGTTGTTGAAAACAAAAAAAAAATATATATATATAAAAAATTAATTTTTGCTTAATCTCATATCGGGGAGATAAGCAAAGTGAAGGTAGTGATTTGGCTATAAAATGGAAGCAATATTTAGGTTTCCAAACACATCAAAAACACTTGAACGTGTTTTATATTAGGGAATCTTTTGGAATCCCTTGGAGTATAAAATATTTGGAGTGTTTTGAGGGTGTCGGGTAGAAAAATAATACTTTGGACGTGGTTTTGAGGGTGATCGGGTTTTAGAAAAAATATTTTGTAATTGTGGTTTTAAACAATTGCCGCATTCAGTGGAAATATATTTTCTTGATTGTCCGTTTGCAACGGCCGTGATTTTTCTCCACTGGGGGAGTTTTCCACGTAAAATATCGTGTTCTCTTCTAATCTTCTTCAGTTATTATTTTATTTTGCTCATTTCATTCCTGCTTGAAGCCGATCGAAGGGCGGGAAAAAAGCGATTTTTCCCAACAAAGTGCGTATCAAAGCCTAGTTGTTAAGGTGGAGCTTTTAGTTGTCTAAAATTAATTTCTTGTAATTATTAAAGCTAATGCTCTGTGGTTGCGGCTTAGTCTGATCTTCCACATCAGAAATACTGTTGTTAGAAATTATATTTTATTTTAAAAGCAGGCTGCGAGTTTTGGAAGTCTTGAAATAGCGGAGGTGGAGCTTTGCTTGGCTTGAGTATCGGTGCCGTGAATGTCCCTGACGATAATTATGAAGTATATTCTATTCTGATAATATACCGTGGCACGTAACTTCTGTCTAGAAGGCCGGATTTTAAGTGGGGACCAACTTGATGAACCCCTCCGATTCCAACTGAGATTTTACTGAATGGTAAATATTGTCTTAGAGAGGAATCATTGTGATCTTTCCTGGCGTATTGCCGAATCAGGATTTACTTCACTAATTAATTTGCGCGTCTCACTGATTATAAGGCACAAGTTAAGCATGTCGCTATGAGATGTGAAGATTCTGAGAAAATATTGACGGGTGCGAGATATGAATTTTGCACTGTGGCAAGTTAGCAAGTCAAAGACGTGTTTGATCAGTCTGGAATTGCATAAGGTTTTGAAGGGTAAACCAATCAGCGGAAAGAATTCAGGAAAAAAGACCAGTAGCAGTGGAAGACGTCAGAAACAAATCCCAAGCATTAGGCTGGAAGAAATAAGGGAGGAAGCTGGATATCAAAGCGGCAACTGGATATCAAAGCGGCAAGTCAAATTCGCATGTGTCTAGCAAAAAATGTTCTTGCTAATGTGCTTGGATTGTCCACGACAAAGAAGTTGTGGGAGAAATTGGAAGAATTGTACCAGGGCAAAAATATATCCAATAGGTTATATTTGAAGGAGCAATTTCATACGTTGAAAATGGCGGAAAATACAAAGCTGTCAGATCATCTGAGTGTTCTTAATGGCATCGTCTCTGAATTAGAAACTCTTGGAGTGCAAACCGAAGATGAAGATAAAACTCTCCGACTCATCCTGTCACTTCCTTCGATCCTGTCACCTTCCTTCACCATATGAGCCACATGAAACCTGTTCTGAAATATGGTAGTAAAGGAGAGTCGGTTGTAAAAGTACAGATTTTTTGGTTGTAAGCTCCTTTACTGGAGGAGAGAAGCTGAATGAAATGAAAAATATAATCAATATGGGATTCAGTTTAATTTTGTCGGTACGAAGAAAAAAGAAATAAAGGCTCCGGAAAGAAGGAAGGTTGTTTTGCTGGGTTTGTGGTTCAAACTGGACACCGTGATGGGAAGGGATTGCCCGAACGGTGGAGCTGATTCCCGGCTAGAAGCTCTAAACGTTGTTGCTTGCCAATTGTGATCTCTCTGTGGCGAAGGTAGATGATTGTGTTCTCTCTGTAATTGAGAGATGTGTGTTCCCTCAATGGCATGATTGTAACCGTTTGAGGATTGCAATGGAAGAGGAGGATTGATTGGTGGCTGGTTTTCAGGGAAATGCGCAACGACATTTGTGACAGTTGATGCAAAGTGTGTGGTGAAAAAAAATTATGTCGATCGGCTAATGAACTCTCTGAAAAGTCAAATCAGGAGGGTTGCACCATAAATTATTAAAGGCGGTATCCGACATGGCGATGGAAAATTCTTGGAGTCGGTAAAGGTGGTTCCAAGTGGCGATACTCTTTTATGGTGAAGTATGATTAATTTCTTGAATGATAAGAATTAATGATTGTCGGTAGCAACAATGTTGTGTTTTTTTATTTTATTTTCAAGGTGGAAGATTGTATAGCCGCCGTTGTTGAGAACAAAAATATATATATATATATATAAAATTAAGTTTTTGCTTAATCCCACATCGTGGGAGATAAGCAGATAGTGAAGGTAGTGATTTGGCTTAAAATGAAGCAATAATTTAGGTTTCCAAACACACCAAAAACACACTTGAAACTGTGTTTTATATTAGGGAATCTTTTTGGAATCCCTTGGAGTATAAAATATTTGGGGTGTTTTGGGAGGGTGTCGGGTAGAAAAGTATTTTGTAATTGTGGTTGTAAACAAATTTGCCAATTGTGGTTGTAACAATTTGCCGCATAGTGAATATTTTTCTTGATTGTCGTTTGGCAACGGCCGTGGTTTTTCTCCACTTGGGGAGTTTTCCACGTTAATTATCGTGTTCTCTTTAATTTCTCAGTTATTATTTTATTTTCTCATTTATTCCTGCTTGAAGCCGATCCGAAGGGTGGGAAAAATAGCGATTTTCCCAACAAGTGTTAGCTTGGACATTCTGGCAGTGCACAAGCATGCCTTGCAATGAACATCTGAGCAAAATGTATATAAATGATACCAAAGTTTCCATATAGGAAGATTGAAAGATGAGTTTATATGATCAATAATATTGGCTGTAAAGTTCGAGAAGTTGTTTTCTCAAAAGAGGTAGTCTTAAGCAAGTTCTAAATGCTTCTTAGATCTTGCAACTGGTTTGCTGTATCTGTAATGCATGAAGCTGAGTAGGACCTATTTCGGCGGTTTAATATGTGAGAGAAAATGCTTTCTGTAAGTAATTTGTCTGTGTTTGTATCTTCAAAAATTGTGTTGGTAAATTGATTTTATGGTTTTTTTTTTTTTTAAATTTGACCCTCTATATTTTGCTAATGCTTCAAACCCACTTTAGGGTATGATAATTAAATTAGTGCTTTTATTAAGTTTATCAATTTTATACTTTGTTTTTAATTGCTATTATTTTGAACATAGCAGATATTGGAACAAAAAGATTCATAAAGCTGACTCCAACTAGTTTGGGACTACTCTATGAGTTTTATTAAATATTAAATTAAAAAAATTGGCCAATCAAAATATAAAAAAATTAAAATTTTTTTAAAAAATAAAAATAAAATACTGAACAAAGAGAATATCTTAAAACTTTCCTTTATTTCAACTTATCTTAAAACTTTCCTTTATTTCAACTTTCATATATATATATATATATTAGTATATATATATATAATAACTTTCATAATATATATATATATTATATTATATATATATAGTATATTATATATATATATAATAATACCTCAAAGGTTGTAACAACTTTTTTAGATTTTTTTTTTTTTTTGGAGAAATAAGGATATTTTTTGACTTAAAAAATGAATTTATTGATGATAGTTTATAAAATTGAAATTAAAAATTGAATTATTGATGATAAATGTTATTTTTGAGAAATAAGATATTTTTGACTTAAAAAATGAATTATTGATGATAGTTTATAAAATTGAAATTAAAATTGAATTATTGATGATAAATGTTAAAAACATATATTAACCACCCAACTAAATTTCCATTAGAATATAATTAACCTATATAATTTATTTTTTTTAACTCCATCACCGTGTTCACATTTTTTACCCGTTTAGAAAAATCCATCACAGTATTCACATTTTTTTACCCGTTTAGTAGGTAACCGGTCACTGAGTCTCTTGGAGAACTTCAAGTGAACTCGTTGTTCTTCAACAAACGATAGCAGAAACGAAACAAGCTGTGAACCTAAAAACCTTGCTGTTACTCTTCAATGGCGGTAGCGAGGATCTTAGCTGCTACGGCAACAATAACAGTAATTGCAGCCTCTCTGTTTTGGGCATCTACCGCCAATGATACTACTGAATCTGCTTTTGTCAAGAAAACCATTTCTTCGCACAAGATCGTCATCTTCTCCAAGTCCTATTGCCCGTAAGACTCTCATTTTCTTGTTATTTCTCCAATTATTATTCAATCCTTTTAATCTTAGATTTACAAATCCTATTAAAATTAACTGTATATGTAACTAGTGATTCATAATCCATATTTCGTATATAATTTGGATTTATAATTCATCTTAAAGTTGCAATTAACATACTCAATTAATCCATTGTTATCTGAAGTTGAATCTATAAATGGCTTCTGTATCAGCAAAGAAAGATTACCATTTGCTTTAATTTTCTATTGTACAGATACTGTAAGAGGGCTAAAGCTGTTTTCAAAGAGTTGAACAAAGTGCCACATGTTGTTGAGCTAGATGAGAGAGGTTTGATCACTGACTTCATCATTAATTTCATTCAGTGCAGGGGAATGTAGATGTGTGTTTGTAGGAGAAATGGCCTAATCTATTTCACTCCAAACATCAAACAATAATCTGTTTCTAAAAAGAAAAAAATAAGGAAATTTGAGTATGTGTAGGAAGATACACTGCTCAATCCTGCTTTTTTGAATCTCTTGGTGCTTGTTTTAACTCTGGTTTCCTTTATAGACATGAATATAAATCTACATATTGTTGGAAAATAAAACAAGTTCAATTGAGATTAGGATTAGGAATTTATATTTTGCAATTGTGTTCTCATCAGGAGTTGATCTTATCTCGTTTAATATTTATTGTAATTAGTAAATGGGTTTATGATTATTATGTGCTTATATATAGGCTACTGTATGTAATCTGTGTAAATGAGTAAAGGAGGAATGAATGTGTGCTGGGGAAAAGCTCCAACAAGCTTCTGTTGAAAAGCCAAATGTAGCCAACTTAAAATGTTTTGCTGTGTGAGCCAGAAGCTTGGCTTGAGTCGGACCATATTGATTTTGGGTGAATAAGATTGCCAATTGGTTGAGTGCAAAACCAGTGCATTGAAGTTCAATTATTTGCAAATATGCTTATTTTGTGAGTTCACCTTTTAAGATTACATCTCTGGTCTCGAAAATGGATTACCATGGTAGTACGCAACTATGGATTTTTAGTTTGAGCAGTTCATTTTGGCATTAGAACTTCAAAGTAAATCTTTGTGTATTCTGGAACTTATCAAAATCTTTTCCTTTGTTTTATAGATGACGGGCAGAACATTCAGGATGCCTTGAGTAAAGTTGTTGGAAGGCGTACAGTTCCTCAGGTTTTCATAGATGGAAAGCATATTGGTGGCTCTGATGGTAAGATTGCTTCTTGCAGAAACAATGCAATCATTTGTGTTATCTATTGAAAGCAAAATTTGTACTATAAAAAAAAAAAACAAAAAATTAACCAGAGAATGCATCTTATTTTTTGATAACAGATACTGTTGAAGCTTATACAAGTGGGGAACTAGCTAAGCTTCTAGGTATTGCTGCTAAGAATGATGATCTTTGATCCAATACTATAGTTCATTGTTAGAATAATATGCAAAAGCAGTAAACATGTTCTGAACTCTTCAAATGGATAATATGGTTTTTACTGTTACCTTTATAATGTTATCTAATTTTTTATATTTTGGTTTCCATTTGGCTACCATAGACAAGTTTTTAAAATTATGCATGTTGATTCATGGTTTTTATCAAGGTGATGCAGTATGTTTTGCTTCTTTTCTTGTGTTCATATTTTATGCGCGCTTGTGGTATATATATTGGTCCAGAAAAACTCGTCCCAGATATTAAATGCTGTGACAATCCTTGAATTATTAGCTAAGTATCCAAATTCATCTGGAACTTTTGATTATATTAGCAAGCTGACCATGAATTTGCACAAGATGCACACCTTTTTTTTTTTGTGCACAGACCAATCGATCACATATTACCGTACTGGCTAGCATCAAATTAAAGTGTATATTCACAAAATGACTTCGTTTTAATTCCAGGCTAGATCATGCATGGCTTTTTTTTTAATGTTTATATATACAGCACAGAGCATAATGTTGGAAAACTTGGCTTACAGTATATCCTTCTATTGCAATTTGGTTATGTCTTATTCTTGCTCATAGTTACAGCTATGTGTTATTATTTCTCATGCTCTCTATGATTCAGCATCATATTTTAAATTTGACTTTATAAAATGGTTTTTTTTTTTTTACTTGGCTCCCTAAACTTTTGAAATTTTTCTTTAGCCCCCTAATTATAGAGTCAGTCTTAATAATTCATGTTATCTGATACCATGTTACAAGATAAAATGAAAATTGTTATTCATTATATAATAATTCACATAGTGAAGTACATTAACACTGACAGAGGGAGGGGGTGCCAGAGGGTAGGAGTGTCTACTATATATTTTTATATGTACAAGAAGCTTAGTATTAGCTAATTTTAGTTAAATACAAGTAAAAGATTAACGTTACACTTACACATCATGTCATTTATTTATCTAGCTGATAAGAAATACTTTGGAAACACGTGTATTTATTTATCTAACCTCTTTTCTTTTCTTTTTATTTGATAGAATTAGAACCTTTGAGAAAATAAGGGAAGAGATATTTCATAGCTAAGAATAACTTTAATTTGATCAAAGAGATAATAATCTTTTTTTTCTAAAACTTAAGAGGGAGATTTTACATTGATTATATTTAAATTTAATATACACTCTTACAGTGTGTTTTTTTATTCATTATGAGGCTCGATAGGCCAAAATAATATTACAATACTCTTATCTTATAGAGCGTGTATGTTTATACTTATTCATTAAGATAAAAAAAAGAAAAAGTTTATTTGTTTTGTCTCTTTGGATAAGAAGCTTGTTTGAATGTGAAGGCAAAAAATCAACTTATTCAATAAGTTAAATTTATAATTTAATCCGGTAAGCTATTTAGCTTAGTACAAATAACAGAAATATCTTCATCTAATATTTGAAATTATAAATTTTTTCCTAATCCCTGAAAGTCTCTTTCTCTCTTGGTTACGGTCTCCACCTTCGCTTTTTGTATCGTCATTGTCTAATCTTGCGTCCTACTTTTGAGCTCAAATTTGATTTCGCTCTTTATTGTCTTCCTTTATCCTTTCCTTTTTTTATTATCTTTTGGATGTTTATTGTTTCTCCTTTCCTTTACTTTTTTTTATTATGTATCATCTTGCTACACTTTTTTTCTTTTCATAAAAATTAAACTAGAAATTTCATTAATTGAAACTGTATATAGATATGGGATACAGATCAATATTTTTATATAGAAAGTTTAATAATAAATTACTTATACAAAAAATTAAAATAATACAATCTTGATTTAAAGTATTTGATCGAGTTGACAGAAGTATAATATTTATGTCATAGGCAATCGCTTCCTCCACTTGTTGGTTGTTAATGGCCACTGTTCGACTCTATGGTCTTTCTACAAGTTTGATCTAATTATCTTCAAATTTATTCCTTCTGTTAAAGAAAAGATATGCACTTCTTTTTATATAACTATCCAAATAATAAAGGACGCTAGACAAGATCATTATAATGGTGATAACAATAAATCTTAATATTTGAGTGACAATAACTCAAATCTGTAAATAAATATGAGGATTATTTATAAAAAATAAATAAGAAAGAAAGGGTGATCTCAGTGGCCGCCCGTGGAAAAAGAAAAGAAAAATTATAAGTTTTAGGTTTTGAGAGAAAGAGAGAGGGGAGGAAAGTATCTTGCTATACTTTTGATTATCTACTAGTGTTTTACAACATGCGTTGCACGTTGTTAGTATTCAGTATTGCTTGTTATTTATACTCATTAATTTATTCTTATATGCTATTAAGTATGATTATAATTTTTCATTTATATTGTCTAGATATTTATATGATGTTAAGACATAATTAATAATATTCATGTTATAAGCAAATAATATTTTTCTTAAACTAATTGTAAAATGACAGGACAACATTAAAAGTCAAGTATATTTAATAAAATAATTATAGACGATAAAATGAAAAAATTATTATTAATCATAAGATTAGACTTCAATTTTTTTGAAAATGATAAGGTTAAACTTTAATTAGCATCAATTTCTTTAAAAAAATTAAATAATATGAGTCTATGTTATTTGAATGTTGATTTGAGTTTATGAAAAACTTAGATATAGATAAATGTATATAAATAACAAAAAAATTCAAAATTTTAAAAGTGATATATATATAAAAAACATATGAAATAATATTTTTTTATAGATGTTTTTATATTTTTTTTATTTTGAAGTTTATTGTAAAATTAAAATAACAATTTATTTTTCAAAGAATTCATATTGTAAATAATTAATGACTGACAGTTCAATTAGAATAATGTATTAAAATAATAATATTACCTTTAAAAATATTAAAATAATATAATAATATACTTTTTTTAATCAATTAATAAAAAATTAAGAAATTGTAATTTATCAATTATTAAAAACTTAAGTTATTTAATAAACTCAAACTATTATCAATTATCCAATGATCCAATGACTAAAGATATTTTAGGATTTCTAAACTTTCACTAAGGTTATTACAGAATTAAATTGTAATTTATTCAATTATAAAAACTTAAGTTATTTAAAAGTTATTTAATAAACTCAAACTATTATCAATTATCCAATGATCCAATGACTAAAGATATTTTAGGATTTCTAAACTTTCACTAAGGTTATTACAGGTAATCTCATTATTTCTCATCTTATTTCTACTTTTATATATAGTACTAGTCTTTTGTGTGGTATGCGTTGCATGTTAATTATACTCATTATATGCTCATTTTTTTTCTATAAAATATTAAACTATAAGTTTTATTTAGATTAAAATAAATACAAGTGATTAATTTATATTACACTTTGCCATACAAACTACCTGCAATGCTACATCTTATGTACTTAATTCTATTTTTATATAATAAAGTGGTCTCGGAATAAAGTTCAATCCAATCTCTAAACTAATCCTATGCAGATTTTTAAAATTCTAATAGGTGTCCAAAAATAAAGTCAAGTTATCACTTAATTTTCAACGCTTGCCCTCGATCCCAAATTAATATCTATATACAACTATACTGAAAAAAAAATAATAAATTATTTTTTACTGCTGGTTAAAAGAAAAAATAAGATGATGATTTGAATTAATAATGGAAATCAAAAAATTTTAACTACGGTAGCAGTATTATTTACCTAGTGTATCAGATAAAGGAATATATGAGCATACATACAAATTCTTGAAACCCCAACAAGTGACCCAAGCAGAATTATATAGTTCTTTTTTTTTTTAGTGTTCCAAACACTATTTTCATTTAAATCAAACAGATTTAAAATATAATAGAAAAAATATAAAAAGAATTAAAAATGTTTAATCATCAATAGACCATCTATTTATTACAAGGGGATATAAATCTCATACTAAATTAAAATAATAGTAATTACAAATTATTCGGTAATGAAAATGAAAATAAAAAATTATTATTAAGAATAAAACTCTTTCAAAACTCACCAGAAATATATTTCAATTTATATAGATATATAAATATATCAATAAAATATTAAATATATTTTTTAAATTAAAATTTTCAATTATTTATCTTCAAACTGCCACCCAAAATATAATTGTATCATTTAATATAGAATAATAATATAATATATCCTCAATATATTAAATATATTTTTTAAATTATAATAATTTTTCAATTATTTATCAATATTAAATTATGTTAAATTTTTTATTTAAAAATTTACTTTTAAGAAAAATATAGTTGCCAGAAAATTTACTTTTTAAAAAATATATCCAATGAAATCTTACAAACATAAAGAAAAAATATTAATAAAAATAATATTTTTTTCTTCTTTTTTTTATCTCTCATAAATAAAATATTACTCTCTCTGTTCTTTTTATATAGGAAAAGTTTTCATTTTTAGTGTTCTTTTTATATGGAAAATTTTGTCTAATTTGGTAATTTTGGGAACCATGCTAATGTGAAAAGTCTATCTTACCCTTGTTTTAGTCATTTGTGAAGCTTTTAGTGTGAGATTTCTCAAGATAGTGGCAGACAAAAGTATAGATGAGCATTTAAAGTGAATAAATTTTGGTGAATGGATTTTTTACATCAATTTCTATTATAAAAAAAAATGTGCTCATATAGGTTATATGACCACCGATTAAAATGAAGTTTGAATAGAAAAAGACTACAAAATTTTTAAGTTGGCTATAATAAAAGGAATTTTTATGGACTTCGCCAAAAATTTAAAAACTTATGCAGTATTTAAAGTACGTTTTCAATAATCAAAAAAATAGTCGGAAGGTTAAATGAACATAAATTTTCATATTCTCACACAACTTTCCCAAATAAAGTACAAAAAATGAATTTCTCTCCACGTGTCAGAGCATAAACTTTATTTTATAATTGTTTATATTCCATTCATTCTAACAAAGCATTTAAAACCTTATTGAAGATTGAAACATAATTTAAGATATGCCTTGATATTAGAGGATAAATAAATTATATATTAGAGATAAATTAGACAAAAAAAATGACAAAAAAAAAATGGTTAAATTGATTTCTTAATCTTGATGAAAAATTAGTTGTGTCTATATAAAAAGAACAAAGGAGTATATACATTCTATTTGAAAATTTATTTTTAATAAAATACTTCCAATCAAATCATACAAACATAAAGAAAAAAGAATATTAATAAAAAAATATATTTTCTTTATTTTTTATCTATATCCTAAAAAAAGAAATATTAATAAAAAATATATTTTCTTTATTTTTTATTCTATATCCTAAAAGAATTAAAATTTGAATAAATAAAATATAAAAAATTTTGCAAAATGTCGCAGTTATTATATTTTTTGAAAATTAAATTTAAGTAAAAGATTAAACTTAATTTGTAAAATGCTTATTATCTATATGTATTTGATCTAAAAAAGATAGTTTTTTTTAATTCATTAGGGAGGCATAATTGATCGTAATAGACATGTGCGGACTATAACCATCCCACTCACCAAATCGGTGAAAACACTTTGTAGTCGAGAAGATCTTGGAGAGCTCGAGGAAACCTCTTCACGTCCTCACAGTAAGTGAGAAAATAGATCCAGACCATACAGTAATTTGAACTTAAAGAATAATTTTAATACAATATATTCCCAATATATTTTCTTTATTTTTTATCTATATCCTAAAAGAATTAAAATTTAATAAATAAAATATAAAAATATTTTCAAATGTCGCATTATTATATTTATTAAAAAATAAATTTAGTAAAGATAAAACTTAAAATTTTAAATGCTTAATTATCTATATGTATTTATCTAAAAAAATAGTTTTTTTAATTCATTAGGAGGCCTAATTGATCGAAATAACATTGCGGACTATAACCATCCACTCACCAAATCGGTGAAAACACTTGTAGTCGAGAAGATTTGAACTCGAGACCTCTCACTCCTCACATAAGTGAGAAAATAATCAGACCATACATAATTGACTTAAAAAATAATTTTTATAAATATATTCTAATAAAATATAATTTTCTAATTGATTATAACTAAGATTATTTTAGGATATCATAAATTTCATTAAATGCGCTATAAAAAATCTCATTATTTCCCATCTTCCCACTTTTATATATAATATAGATAGATTAAGTTTACTATTAGTACTTTCCATCAATTAGTATTGATTAATAATTTTCTAGTTTCCTTCTTCTCTACTTTCCGTTGCACTATCATCAAGTTAACAGATTGCTCTATCTGTTAATTAGCTTTCGGTGGAGTCTAATTATGTAATTCAAAGTTAGCATAATATAAAAGAAAATACTTAGCTCTCTTTTCAAGGCTTAATTTCACCCGATGCTGCTCAAACTGTAGCACCTATCCCATTATGATTCTTCAAATTCAATTCGTCCTGTAAAAATTTCTCAACTCCAATTTATGTAACACAAAAGTGATTTTTGCCGGATTTCAGTGTGTCTGCACCGGAAAGCTGATATGGAGCTCCAAATCTGCTTTTATTTGGATTTTTAATGTCATAGCAACCTTGAAAAAAGGAAAACTTCTCTTTCTTTCTTGCTCAATTTTTTCTCCAAGCTGGTGCTCCCCTATTCTCTCTCTTGCCTAATTTCTCTTTCATGCTGCCCTTAAAAAAGTATAATCTGCAAGTGAGAAGACATAAAAAATGTATAAACTACGAGTCAATATGTACAAAAATTGACTTTACCAAAAACACGTAAATTCTGAATATCACATCACTCTAAATTCGTTAAAAACATATTAAAAATATGGATTGATTGTTCTCGTAGGCTTTCCAGCCAAGATTTATTGCAGGCAAGAGCTACTTTTGTGTTACACAAATGAGAGTTGAGCAATTTTTCCGGGACGAATTGAATTCGAAAGACCACAATAAGATAAGTGTTATAGTTGAGGGAAAACGGGTGAAACCACAATGGGTAGGTGCTATAGTGGACGGAAAACGGGTTAAAAAAAACCTCTTTTTAATGATTGTTGGATTAATTTTTTTACAATCCTATTTACAAATATTTTGTTTCCTTATCGTCCACAATTAATTTCCTAAGTTATAACGAAAAATATTTTCTATTTTAATCCACTCCAAAGGCATCAACTCGTATTACTAAATATTTTGTACACCTTCAAAGACACTTTCAAAATTGTTGGGAGAAAATCAGTCAAGAAAATGAAAATAAATCTTTGCTTTTTGGAGTAGAGTCACACTTGAATTTTTGTGGAGGTTTTGAAATCAGTTTTAGGAGTTTTATAAGGTCTATTTGTGCCAAATAATTTTATTTTTATGTTTGATTTCTCTATGAAAAAATGCTAATTCTACTGTTATCTTATTTATTCATTTAGATGCTTTTATATTTCCTGGATTTATTTTTTATATTATAACATCAATCCAACGACTTTAAGTGACAATGATTGTTTGAGGGATTTAAAACAAAAATAAATTAAGAGTTAAATAATAAATTACTATCTCTATTTCATAATATTTGTCACATTTGAAATTTCACATTCCTTAAGAAAACCATTACATTTATCTAAATTAGAATAAATCATTAAGTAAATTGACTATATTATCCTTAATTTAATACTAATTCTCTACAAAAAAACAATTAAATTGAAATATTATTGGTTATATATAAAGGGTGAATATAGAAAAAAATAATTTATTACTCATTGAAACCACAAATATAATAAGTATTTTGGAACAATTATTTTTTCTAATGTGATAAGTATTATAAAATAGAGGTAATAGGTTTTAAGTTTGATTTTTCTTTTTTTGGAACACAGAGGAGGCAGTCATCCCTTAGGAATAATCTTAGGCCAAATTACCCCAACAAAGTCAATATCTAAAAATACCTTAGCTCTTGAAGTTTACTCTTCTTTATATAATTCAATGCATCAATTTAGAAGGTCAAATATGTAAAAATGCATTCAAATGATTCAGATATCTAATTTATTAAACAATTTTAATTATTGCAATAAACTATTAATATCATCTCTTAATTATCTAGCTCAAGATAATTTTACTTTTACTTAAGTTAGAATGCTAGTTTATATATCAAGTTATAAATAAATTGAGCCGAGTTCCGATTTTGTTGAGATAAAGTTGAACTTATTAAAGGTTGAAAAAACCAAATTTGAATAGGTTCATTTACCAGTTCAAATTCAATTTATTTATTCAATGAGCTGGTAGGAGATTTTTCTAACTGAGTCTCGCGCCACTTAGGATCGTCATGGCCCATTTATGTCTGAAGGACTAAATGACATATTTTCTTAACCCAAAAAAACGAAAAAGAGAGAAGAAAGAGCTGATTAATATATGAGATCAATTTTGGAGGGACAAATAAATAGTAATTTGCCAAAAGAAAATGCAGGTTTAGTGTGTTTGGGCTTAGATGAGCCGATGTATCTTCGATCATGGCCTTATCCATGGCAATCACGGACAACTTTTATGTTTCAGCTAAATGTTTTGAAAAGTTTAATTGGTCAGTCAGTCCTAAATTTTGTGTGGGTCAGGTGTCACTTTCTCTTCTCTACTAAGAATCAAATGTGGAAAGAGTAACTTTCAATTTTGAAGACACACTTCTTCTCCGGCAGCGGTTATGGCGGTTTTCCCTCTGAATTCTTCTTCTCCGAAAACCTAGAGAAAGAAAGTTTGTGTATTTTAGAAGGAAGAGAAGAGAAAAGGAAAAATTTTGGGATAAGATCAAAAGAAAGAATCATATTTAGAGAGCGAAAGAGAAAGAAAGAATCTTTGTACAGTGAATTTGTGGTGGAAATTCATTATCCTAATTCCTGTAGAGACCCAATAAAGATATGGGAAAAGCAAAATCTTTTAGGAGCAAAGCAGTTCACTTTGTGTCTGATCTCACCACTGTCTTTCTTAACCCTATCTCTGATAAACCATCTAAGCCTCCTAATCCGAATTCTCCTGTCACTGTAAGTCTATTTACTTTATCTCTTGTTTTAACTTGATGGGGTTCTTTCTTCATTTTTGGATTAAAATTTGGTAATTTTATTATTAATTTGTTACGTTTGGATGATTGATTGAATACCCATTTCTAGTTTGATGATCGGTATAGAGATTTTAGCATTCGAGCAGTGTCCGTATTTCTTATTCCATTTGGCGTTTTGGTTTGGTGATGTTTTCTAGCCGCTTTTTATATTTCTTTTGATGGGTTACTAAGTTTTCTGATGGGTTCAATCGAATTTAGGATGTAAGAATTGGAACAATGGAGCTGATTTGTAGCTAGAACTCACTAATCAAAAGCTCAGTACATTTTACTAGGGAAATTTACTCTCTGGGCTGGGGGAGCATTCCGACCCTCTACTGCAGCTGAGTATCCTAGATGGCAACAAGGAAGAGGAGTAGATCGGAAAGAGCCTGAGATGTTTGATAAGGGGCCATTTATCCAAATTTTGGTTGTTATTTTGTTACTTTTCATTAACAGAAATAATAAGCTAAGCATTACCATATATAAACAACTGTTAGAATCTATCTGGTGATTGCTTAATAAATGGTGCTTGTAGTTATTGCTGTTTTCTATTGATTTCATAGTTAATAAAAATGTAAGTTTAGACTGTTGAGAAATTGTCCAAATTATAACTCAACTTATTATTTTGATAGGAAGACCTGAGTGAGTCAAAAAGGAGTCAGCTACAGTCAATCACTGAAGAGGATACTGGGGATTTAGCTGATGGGCCAGATACTTCTTCTTTTACTGCGTTCCTCTATTCCTTATTGTCCTCTTCAGATTCTGGAGTTAATTCAAATGCAGATGAGAAGAATGATAGTGTAGCAGAAATTGTTGATCAGCCATCTGACAGTACAAGGAAAGAGAGTAGCACAAAGAAGAGTTTACTTTCCAGGGGCAAACAATCTCTTAGAGCCATTTATCAAGCTGCGAGAATCGGTGGATATCGAGGTCAAGAGCAAAAGTTCGAATCTGACATGAAATATACTGATGAAAGTGATGATAATTTTGATGGACTTGAGATGAAGCATATGCAGAATGTGGAGCAGGCTGTTGAAGCCAGAGAGCTTCCAGATGTTTCTGAGCCTTCATTGCTTCTGTCGGAGAAAGCAAGAAATGCCCTTTATGCTTCCCTTCCAGCCCTTGTTCAAGGGAGGAAATGGTTATTGCTTTACAGGTTCAGAAAAGATCTTATTAATTTTAGCTTTTAAACACGTATAGTCTTGTTACTAGTACTTGTTGAAATAACGGTTATTTTTTTTGGGTTAACTAATATCTTTAATTAATTCTCGCTGTGCATGTGTTGTTACATTATTCTTTGCAGTACATGGAGGCATGGGATATCACTTGCAACCTTATATAGAAGAAGCATGCTTTGGCCTGGACTGAGCCTGCTGGTAATGTCTTAGTAACTTTTGACCAAAGCATCTTTTTTTTTTTTTTCTTCCATTGCTTGCATTTTTTTCATATTCTTCTCTGAAGGTCATACCATGATTTTCTTGTCCTTTTTAACTTGATGTATTAGTAAAATTGATTCTCCAGCATATGCATGGATGTTTATGTGTATCACACTACCGTTATGTATGTTGTTTGAGTGACACACTCATTATACAGTTTCCCTGCAATAATTTATAATTGTACCATCCGTTATGGGAATATCATTGCGTTTTTGTCAGCCTTTAAGTTAAATAGGATACTGCTCTAAGTAAACACAATAACAATGTTTTAGATTTTTTTAGCAACAGATCTTGAAGTATTGAATATATATGTCCAATAAAATTACAATTCCATATAAACACCAGACTCTCTTAGTTAGTTCTGGTACTGAATAGTTGTCTTCTTCAATTACATTACTTTATTCTTCTCAAATCATTCTCGGCTTTTTTCTTGATTTACCAAATGATTGTAGACCCTTGATTCATGTAGCATAGCCTTAGTTACTTCTTGTTTGCCTATTTTATGCTTGTCCTATTTATTAATATATCAAATGATTTTCAAAGCTTTTTCTTTACAAAAGGTATTTTGAAATTTTTTCTGACTTTGCTTTTCTTTGATACTAATATTTGATCAGAAAGGATATTGGAAACAAAGATTCATATAGCCGACCCTAACTAGTTTGGCACTAAGGCTTATTTGTTGTTGTTACCAAATGATTTTCTATCTCCACATAACTGATTTTATGTTTCATGCATACAATTCCTACATCCTAAAGTGGCTGGTTTTCCCCCTGTTTTTTGTGTTTGTTCTTCCGTTGTCTACATAACCCAGGTGTCAATATATGCATTCCCCTTGTATAAGACGGCATAGCTCCTCACTTATCGCCTATCGGCTTAATGTGCAGTCGCCTTCGGCGAGTCGCACGCTAAAACTAGAGTGTAAACGCTGGCTCCCAGTATTTGACTTTCAACTTAGATATCGTTCCCCTGTATATGGTTGCAGCTGATTAATGCTTGATGTTATTCAGATATAATACTTTCCTTACAACCTCATCGTTTTTCGTCGCTAACATACGACGAAAATACTCTGGACTTACATGAATACCCCCCCTGTATATAGTTATATCATAAGGCACTGTTTATACCATTATATCATTGTATTCGTTTAGAGTGAAGCTCTGTTTGGCATCGGGTACTTTTGGAATATTTTGGGTTGTCAACTCCATAAAAATCTGAAGTCATAATGCATCTAAATCTAGTAGAGGGCTGGGATATTAATTATTGCTATTTACTATAGGAAAATTAGTATATAACTATAGTAGTGGCTCCTATTATTTCTATTCATTTTCTTTCAGGTTGTTGGAGACAGAAAAGGTGCAGTTTTTGGCGGCTTGGTTGAGGCACCACTAAGACCAACCAACAAGAGAAAATATCAGGTGTCACTAAATTACATTTGATCCGTTTGGACAAACATTTTCTCATAAAACTCGTGTTGACATTGAATTCTGAGCAGGGAACAAACAGCACCTTTGTTTTCACGAATACACCTGGCCACCCTGTGATATTCCGCCCCACAGGTATTTCCCTTTTCTGCATCCTGGGACAGGAAATCTGATTTCTAATATATGATGGAAAAAAAATCAGGCACATGTTAAAATATCATCCTTAATTCTTGCTTATTTTATGGGTCTGTTGATGAGTTGTTATGCGAGTAACTTTGGCAAATGGTTAAATAAGTAATAATAAAATATATTGGGTGTACCTTTGTATTAACGAATGTATCCTTATGCTGTGATTTGCTGTCAGTGCCCTCGATTTTGGTCAACAGCTTTTACTTTACACAATGTTTTTCAAATGACCAAAAATGCACGGTGTATGTCTTACACTCGTGAAATTTTTTTTTTATGAAGCAAACACTGTAGACAGCTGTAAGAACATACCATACTCTTTTGCCCTGGATCTCAGAAATCCCAATGGGCTCACATGAGGAGCACAGAATAGAATATCAGCTGCAACAAGAAATTGTACTATTACTTGGGACATTATTCATCATAGTCCTAGATGCTAGGACTCCAGTTTCCAAAATTTGTTCTCAGAATTCCTTTCGTGCTCTGAAATGCTTGGAATAGAATTTTATCATCTGATCTTCCAATTCAAATAAAAAAATCATAACACAGATGGTTTTTGGATACAATACACATATCAGTTCAAGTGCCAAAACTTGGCCTGTGTTTACCCAATATGATAGGATACTGGATTTGATTCAGAATATTTCTTTTTAAGCAGTGTCCTGATGGCAGTATTGAAACAGGTGCAAATCGCTATTTCACTTTGTGCTCTTCTGACTTTCTGGCGATTGGAGGGGGTGGTCACTTTGCACTCTACTTGGACGGTGATTTGTAAGCCCTTATATTCCTCTCTGTTATTTGTGTACTTGTTTTACAACCATTTTAGTCGTGTGAAAATGAAATGTATGTCCATCTTCAAGAATCAAATTTAATGAAGGTAAAGAGCACTCATAATCACACTATTTACTGACACTGTCATTTTCCATGAAAGATTAAATGGATCGAGCTCAGTCTCAGAGACATATGGAAACCCGTGTCTTGCACAGTCGGAAGACTTTGAAGTAAAAGAAGTTGAGGTATGTACATAGCTAATCCCTTCACATGCACATATGATTTTCAATATAGCTCACTGGTGCTGGGTGGTGAGTTGCATTTTGCTTTCAGTAGAAGAAATCACTAGCATGAAAAAGCAAACCTTTTATTTTTCTTGGTTTCAAATTGTAGCTATGGGGCTTTGTATACGGTACCAAGTATGAGGAAATACTTGCTTTGAGCAGAACAGAGGCTCCTGGGATTTGCCGGTGGTAAATATTCGAGCATATAGCTGATCTTTTGTCATTATGATTGTCAATGTGGATCAGTTGGTTTTGTTTGTTGCCTTTGAATTATTCCAAAGCTGACGTGTTGAACTGACTCAAAAGCGGAAGACACCTCTGTAGATAGTCGCTGTATATATATATAATATATATATAAATGGAGTTTTACACAATCCTAATAAATGGAGTATTTACACAATCTTAATAAATGGAGTATTAACACAATCCTTGATAGTTTTGGATAAAACTTGGATTACTGACAGTTAAATTCAAAGATACGGAGATGAGAGAATCTTTCTTTTGATGTGTGTTGCAGAATATTCAAGTCGGACATATGTAAGAATGCTGCTTCATTTTGAAAACATAAAACATTGGAAATTTAGCATTTAGTAAGTTTAAATTCTGAAAATTGAATGCCAAGAATAGCAGATGGACTATAGGGTTGTCAAATTATTGTAATACTCAAGTTTGCAAATGGTTTGGTGCTTGCACTAATCGGAAGACCTGAAATTGTTTAGCAATTTTACTTTGCCATTCTGTTCTGCATGACTATTCCTAATTAAAGTACTTTTTTATATCCTATAATATCCGTATTTAATCCCAAATTTGATTACTACTTATTAGAAGATGAAAAAGCCTACTAAAAACCACACTCGAGTTCTCCACGGTGAATTAAATAATCAACTTTTTAGTTTCATCATATAAATAATATGTGTGTGTATATATATTAGTTTTTTTTTTTTTTATAATGAATTGCCTTTCGTCCGTGAAAGCAAAAAAAAAAAAAAAAAAAATTTTTTGGGAGATAAAACTTGGATTACTGACAGTTAAATTCAAAGATAACGGCAGATGAAGGAATTCTTCTGTTTTGCATGTGTGTTGCCAGAATATTTCCCAAGTCGGACATATGTAAAGAATGCTGCTTCATCTGTGAAAACATAAAACTATGTGGAAATTGTAGCATTTAGTAAGTTAAAATTCTGAAAATTGAAATGCCAAGAAGATAGCAGATGGACCTATAGGGTTGTCAAAATTATTGTAAATACTCACAGTTTGCAAATGGTTTTTGGTGCTTTGCACTAATCGGAAGAAACCTGAAATTTGTTTACAGCAAATTTTTAACTTTTGCCATTCTGTTCTGCATGACGAAATTCTAATTAAAGTACCTTTTTATCATCTGATGATATGCCGTATTTTAAATCCCAAATTTTGATTACTACTTATTAGAGAATGAAAAAGCCTACTAAAATAAAAAAAACGACAACATCTCGAGAGGTTCTCCCACGGGTTTATATTTTTTGTTTTTTGTTGGGGGGGGGGAAAGAATTTTTCTTTATTAAAAAAATAGAGCGAAATTCCCAATCTTTTTTCAGTTTTCATAGTCATAATAATAATGGATGTGGTGTGGTAAGTATATATTGAGTTTTTTTTTTTTTTCATAATTGATATTAGACCTTGTACGTTGCCGTAGAAAGCAAAGAAAAACTAAAAAAAGAAAAAAAAAAAAATTTTATTGAAGAGGAGTAAGTTATTCTTAGAAGTGTCAAGAGATGCAATGTAAAGTTTTCTGTCGATTTGATGTGAAAGTACCGGATTTGTCTCAAATAAAAAAAAAAAAAAAAAAAAAAAAAATTTTGAGGGTAATTAATTTAGAAAGTAAGGATGCAAATGTAAATTTCTTGATTGATGTGAAAGAGGATTTTCCAATTTTGCCTTTATCAACAGGGCTACACATGCAATCGTTCTGTTCATTAATGCTGCCGCCCTACGCTACACTAACACAACCATTTGCAGTGCTGCGGCAAAGGAAGACTAAATTTGACGGAAAAATCTAAGCAAGAGGCTTGTAGAGGAAGAAACTGAAAAAGAAAATCAAGGTCAGGGCATTGAATAATTTTTTTATTAATCCTTAAGAGTTACATAAGCAAGCAAATAAACCTGGCTAACCATAGATAGAGTTCTAAAAAAATGGAAAGGAACTCTACATGTACCCTAACCAACAAAGAATACACAGGAAAGAAGAAAATGTAAACCACGCTTTAGATTCAAATATGATCAACGAGCTCTTCAATGACTGTTGACGTCAATTCAGAGAACTTTATCACAGGATCTGTCACAAAAAAAGATGAATGTCAAACAACTTATACCACAAAGAAGGGGGGGAAAAAAAACGAGGAAAAGTATAGTAGAAACTGTAGCTAATAATCCTCCTTTGGAACGTTCGTGTGAATTATGGCAAAGTACCAAGTATATAAATAGTGATTTCAAATCCAGAGGTTAGTCATACTCGAGCGAGTTTATGTAAGACAGTTTGGTTGTTATGGGGGGATTCATTGAATTCTCCAATTTTGATGAAATTTATTTTGGATGAATGGTATGATCCCCTGTAGCCCCAAAATGAAAGGCAATTTGAAGAAATGAGGCATCACATTTACTAGCCAATTTGTTTTTTTTTTTTTTTTTTTTTTTTTTTTTTTTTTTTTTTTTTTTTTTTTTTTTTTTTTTTTTTTTCATGCCTTTTTTTCAACAGCAAATAAAAGAAAGCAACAGAAATCAATTGATCTTTTTTTTTTTTTTTTTTTTTTTTTTTTTTTTTTTTTTTTTTTTTTCATGCCTTTTTTCACAGCAATAAAGAAAGCAACAGAAATCAATTGATCTCAAAAGAAATTTCATCATACCTTCGTTATCAGTAATTTCTATACCAATCATGTGCCAACTAGGCCTGCTGAAAATTCCTCAATTACACAACTGTAGCAGTCTTCTCGACAAACCCTTCTTTTAAGGTCTGAGGGGAACCATTAATCAGATTGGCAGTCTTGGTGTTCGCTGTTTCCTCATATGCAGCTTCATGAACACCAACCGCAGCACGGCCAGAAGGGTCAAGATTTTTGGACCATGCTGCATCCCATTCAACTGCCTTTGCAGTACTGCATGCAACACTTGGACCTCCAGGAACTGTTAACCTTGCAGCATTCTGCTCAGAAATGGAAACTAACTTCTTAAAAGTTGAACATACAAATACAGCAGGCAGAAATCTGGTAAATGGATGGTCCACTAGATTTTAGAGGACCATTAAGAAATAAAAGATCAGAAGTTACAGAAAATAATGATATTACACCTTAGGGAAGAATTTCTCAAAGATGGCTCTGTAGTAGTATGCCTCTTTTGTGGTAGGAGTATTTTCTGGGTATATGAAGCTTGCATTCATCAACATTGCATCTGTGACCTGTCCATTTACACCAGTGATGAGTAGCTCACATAAGGCTATCAAATACATAACAAAGAAATAAAATTTTAAAAAAAAGTAACGAAAAGATTTCAATTTATTTTTTGGGAGTTATTCAACAAAAACGACTGTATATGCTCTAAAAAAAATCAAAATCATACAACGTGAATAAGAAAGAATGCAAAAAGAAAACAAGCTCAAGCTATACATACTTGCTTGTTTGCATGATCCCTCAAACCATCAATCCAACTATACCCAACTCCATCACTGAACTGTTCCTTCTGCCTATATAATATGTGCTGAAACCAAGTAAAAAATGAAGATTTCAAAATTCTTCCATGTAAATTGTACAAGGATGCAGAAAGGCATGAGATGGTTAACTAAATGGCTGAAGATGCAGCAGAGGCAGAAAGTAATAAACCTTTGGAAGATACGGGTTCTTCTCATCATCAAATGCATTGCGCAAGACCCACTTCTCTATCCTTCCAAGATCACGCCTTATCTGCAAGAACAAGAGAATATCAAATGTCTACTGAGAACAATTTATCAGCATTAATGAACTATCAGCTATGACTTAAAAATGTTCGATGGCACAAAATTCATGAGAAAAAAAAAAGGCCATTGGCATAATTTTGATTTCTATGCAAATAAAACTACTAATACAGAAGAAGACAACATTGGAAAGTGCCAATCGTAACACACGTACCATTTTCCACTCAGGATCTATGCTCATTGCAACATTGATGAAGTCTTTGTCTAAAAAGGGTACACGAGCCTCAAGGCCCCATGCTGAAGTCGATTTATTGGCCCTCAAGCAGTCATAAAGATGAAGAGCCTTGATCTGTTAATTATCAAAGATGCAATCAAAACTTTAAAAGCAATATTTCAGGGAGTATTAACATATTGAATCAAAGTAATAACTGGAGCACAAATAGTTTTGAACCCATGATGATCATAATATTTAAAGAAAAAAAAAGAGAGAATAGCACCTTTCGACATGTCTCTTGGTGAAACTCTTCCTTGTTCGGTGCCTTGTGAAAATATAAATAACCTCCGAATATCTCATCTGAACCTTCCCCAGAAATAACCATTTTAACTCCTAATGATTTGATTTTTCGCGACATAAGAAACATTGGAGTGCTGGCTCTAATAGTCGTCACATCATATGTTTCAATATGATAAATGACTTCCTCAAGAGCATCAATTCCTTCCTGATAGGACAAAACCAAAAATTATCAGAAATGCATGGAAGGGGTCACTTTTCCTGTTCTATTTAAAAGAGGCGGCCATTACCTGAACAGTAAAGTGCAATTCGTGGTGACGAGTTCGGAGATAGTCTGCTACTTCCCTTGCAGCTTTTAGATCAGGAGAGCCCTGAATAGCAGAAAAGCTAATGAAAATGAATGAACAGGGAAAAGATATAGAATTAAGAGTACACATGAATTATATTGAGGAAATATCATAATATAAGAACATAAAGGTTAAAATGACCTTCTGTCTCATACTATCATGCAATGCAACTGCCCCAAGGCACACTTAGCTGTTCAGGGTCACCATGCAACTTTAAATTCCAGTAACTCTATTTCCTCACATAAAAATAATAATTAAAAAAAAAAAAAAAAAAAAAAAAAAAATAACGATCTCTATTTCCTCACATAAAAATAATAATTAGAAAAATAAAAACAAAAAAGACTACTGTCATTCGATGATGCGCTACTAACATTGAGCAAAAGCACCTACAAATGCACATTGAATGTTCTCACAATCTAAAAAAAAAAAAAAAAAAAAAAAAAAAAACTATCTTCGTGCATGCCAATACTAACAATTGCAAAACACTACAATGCATTGATGTCTATTCAATTCCTTCCAATGTTATAGAGTTGGCAACGCAGAGAGGTCAAGTATCAATAACCATGTCAACGTCCTTATCAATGTTTTCATGTTGATAGTTAATCATGGAAGAAAATGGGAATAGTCACAAGATACTGTGTACAAATGA